TTCCAATCTGTTTTTCTTAATTTTGCATTTCCTATTGAATGTATTTAAATCTCCATGACTCGTATAATACAGATGGGACAAGAAGAGATAAGTGCCAGTGGTACATCCTATTTGAATAGAACTGAGGCTGCAAATGTTGAAAAAATTGTGACTACTTTCTTAAAAAGTGGTGTGGTACCCAGTCAGGTAAATAAAATCTCTCTTATGTTTTCTGTTTCTTCGTGTCATCTTTATTTTAGTGGTGTAATGACACTTCTGTGCTTATGTTTTGTAGATAGGAGTTATAACACCTTATGAGGGTCAGCGAGCATACATAGTCAACTATATGTCAAGAAATGGTTCTTTAAGACAGCAACTGTACAAGGAAATTGAGGTAAGACTAATACAACATGAACTTGTCTAATATTTGGATGTTTTCATCGTAGTAATTGCTAACTGATGACTTTCATCTCAGGTTGCAAGTGTAGATTCATTCCAAGGAAGGGAAAAAGATTATATCATTCTGTCTTGTGTCAGGAGTAATGAGCATCAGGTTGGTTAATATTTCTCATTTTATGTACTTTATATGTAAATACTTGGAGAAGTTAATTAATCAGATCCTTTATTCTTACCTAAATGCTAAGACATGATGCTTTTCTGCTCAAATTTTGCGCACAGGGCATTGGATTCCTTAATGACCCTCGAAGGCTTAATGTTGCTCTAACCCGTGCTCGTTATGGCATTGTCATCTTGGGAAATCCTAAAGTTCTTAGCAAGCAACCACTTTGGAATAGCCTATTGACACATTACAAGGTAATTTAGCCTTGCTTCTGGGGTTACTGGTTCTTGTATGGCTAATTCACTGTGTTTTCTCATGTGGAAGCTGGCTTGAAAACAGTATTTTAAGTGGGTAGTACTGTTCAGTTCTTTCTTACTATTTTCTGCATCTGTCTTAAAAAATTCTTGTTCCTTCTTTTTTCTTTTCCGTGCGAAATATACTCTTGGGTGAACCTGAATTTAACAGCATTATTGGTACTTGTTATTGATTATCAGCCTATGATTTTGGTATTAGGAAAATGAGTGCTTGGTTGAAGGACCACTGAATAACTTGAAGCAAAGTATGGTTCAATTCCAAAAGCCCAAAAAGGTGATATATTTTCCCCAAGTTTTTTTACTTTAGATTTCGCTGTTGTAATCTTTTTTCCCTGTTTGGGACACCTGTTGATTATGACGTTATACTGAAGTGATTGCCTAATTTATGATCCACAGATTTATAACGACCGCAGACTTTTCTTTGGTGGTGGCCCTGGAATCATTCCCAATGATACTTTTGGGTCTGTTGCCACCTCAAGTACAAATGCAGATAGGAGGGGCAGTCGTTCCAGGGGTAAGTAAACTTCTGATGGTCTGTAACCAGTGTGGGTTAAAAGCTGCTCTGAGAAAGCAAGAAAGCAATCATGCACCGTTTTAATTGTTTGAGAAATTTTTTAGGAGAATCGTTATTTCGTCATTGGATGAGTAATGATGAAGACTTATTTTGCTTCAAACAGGTTCTTACATGCCTCCTGGCCCTCCAAATGGTACCCATAAAGCTGGCATGCACCCTACTGGTTATCCAATGCAGCGAGTACCCCTTCCGCATTATCATGGTGCCCCTCCATCACAACCATATGCGATTCCTAGTCGTGGTGCTGTACATGGACCTGTTGGAGCTGTTCCTCATGTTCCGCAACCTGGTAGCCGGGGTTTTGGGGCTGGGCGTGGGAGTGCTGGCACTCCTATTGGCAGTCATCTTCCACACCAGCAAGGTTCACAGCAACCTATTGGAAGTCTTGGTTCTAGTTTCAACTTTCCACCTTTGGAAAATCCAAATAGCCAGCCATCTGTTGGTGGACCATTGTCTCAACCAGGCTATGTTTCTAATGTCAGTGCTCTCCATACTCTGTTTCTGTTTTGTTCTCTTTTCTGGGTCAGATCATTGACTGCTATGATTATGCTTGCTCCTCTTCGTTATTATAGATGACCGTTCAGGGACCAAGCCAAACGTTTAGGGATGGGTATTCTCTGAGTGGCATGTCACAGGTAAGTTAACGTTGAAAATGCAGTCTCTTTTTTCTTTGGTACTTTGAATTCCTTCTTATCCTTCCTTTAATTATGAATCAGGATTTTTTGGGTGAGGACTTCAAAAGTCAAGGGTCACATGTTCCATATAATGTTGCTGAATTTTCCACACAGGTACACCTCAGTTCATCTGCATCTCATCTAACATATCTTCTGGGAGATGATTACTCTGTTGCCTCTATTATTCCATTGCTTTTACCCCAGTACTGTGTGCATGCATATCTTTTGATGCATGTTTTATCATGAACTTTGCTTCATTGTTTGCTCCCATACAGGCTTCTCAAAGTGGATATGCTGTGGATTATGTTACACAGGGTGCACAAGGTGGATTTCCAGGAAGCTTCTTGAACCAGAGTTCCCAAGCGGGATATTCTCGCTTTGGAACAGGAAATGATTTCATGTCTCAGGTTTGTTTGTTGTTTCTGTAATTCTTTGGATGATGAGATCGGAATCGAAACCTATGTTGCTTTTGGGTGATTAGTGGGGTTCTGGGGGCATCTCTATTAGAGATGGTTTCAAATTAGGTAAATGTTGTATTATGTTAAAGTGTGTCTGCATGTGTCTTTTTTAACTTCTTTTGCCCTGGGATCTGACCGTTTATTTGGCTACTGTAGGACTATATGGCTCATGGTTCACAAGGTCTATTCACACAGGCTGGATTTAATGATCCATCTCAAGATGACACTTCACAGAACCACTTTGGGGTGCCCAATTCCAATCCACTTCAGTCTCAGGTTCCTTTGAGTAATTGCGTTTCTTATTCATAGATGCAGCATGTTATAGTATCATCTAATTGGGTTGAGATCACCGCATACTGTAAGGAGGTCCTGACCATTTGCCAACTTTTAAAAATTGCTAAATGGTCAATTCACCACATACTATTGGTTATTTTAACCATTTGCCAATGTTTAAAACCTTCGTGTGCCTGGGAATTCTGCCCTTTTTTTTTGGATTGATCATTTTATTGAATCATTTCAGTGATTATGTCTTCGTGAGTATCTGAATCTTTTTATCTCTTTGGCAGAGTATGCTCAATCCACTTTATTCCCAGCCATTTGGCCACTACAACACACAGCCACTAAACGTGCAGGCTACTCAGCAGCAACAGCAGCAGACCCAGCAGGGTCAAGGGTCGCAAAACCAGAAACTCCACTATAATGGTTGAGGACATCGGCTAGTATATGTGACGGGGTATTGTCCTCACATCCAGCAACTTGATTTGTGCTGTCGTGTGAACAAATTATCCGCCGTAAGATGATGTCAGAAATCCGAAATAAATGGGATTTGGTTGATGCAACATCCCTTTTGGATGATTCTGAGTGATTGGATCAGCCAATTGATTCAAAGGAATGCCGTGTCTTTTGGTTGAACACAGGCAGCTCATCTGGTGCTGAGGAGAAAGATAACCCCAAATTTCTTCGTGAAATTAAATAGCTTGCAGAGAGCATTACATGGCGTGGTTTTGTCCGAAGGGTGGGATCTGATGGAAGCAAATTTGATTGCTTTTAAGGATACTGCAGATGACCCGGGAGCTACAAAATTGCAAAGTCTTGTGCAGTCTTGCACTACATGGCAGGAGACTCGCCTGAACCTTTCGGCTCTTCCTGACATGTAATTATGCTCTATATCTAGTCAGTAATTGGGTAATTGAGAATATGCTTGATATGTGGGTTGTGCAGGCACACTGTCTACACTATTAGGTCTTTATTAGATATATGCGTTCCATGGGTGTTCATTGAGTTTGATTGCTTGCCCCTTGAATCCGATTCAGTGGATTCTTGTCTTGTTTGGGGGACGAGCAAATTTGTGGATTGTTGTTGATCATCCCAATTATAGTGAATGGTTGAAGCTACATGTCTATGTCTCAGTTGCAAACTTGCAATATGGTGTCCATTTCACTAGTATAATAATCCATTCAGTTCCTTTTTCTAGTTTATTAGATTGGATAACTAAAACTACTGGTGTGTTGCAAGCCAGATACCTGTGTTAAAGAGATGTAGGGATTATACTTGATTCGTATTCACTTCCTATAACTGTGACAATAATGATTTTCTTATAATCTTCTTGCTGAGATTCCAGGTAAAATCCAGCAATTCAATCATTAACTCGGCCCTTAACTACTAATTACGTGCTTTGCATTGTAACTAGCTGAAACATGGCTTCAAGTAAAATTTGTGCCATAATTCATGTGTAAAGTGAATTCTATGAAATTGCAGCATCGCATTGCGGTGGGCATATGATATTTAACTCTACTGATGCATCAAAAGTTCGCAATTTAATTGGATGCAACAAGGCCTGCCGAATTGGAACATCAAATGAACCATTTCCTTCATACTAAGAACGAAACAAAACAACATTAAAATATATGTTTAACATCTAAAGGTCACCTTAGTCCAACATGTAAAATCATCCATTTTTTTAATGTCAAACAAGTCTATAAATTACCTTGGGGTGTAAAACTATTATAGATTATGTTGTAAAATTATCAAGAAAAAAATGGTTATGTTTTGAACCTTTTATATATATATATATATATATATATTTAACGAAAACGTTAGAAATATTATTATTGATATCAAAACAAGCTGTACAACCTTGAGTAAAGACTACTTTACAAACGTGTATTTAGACATTGAAAATTCAAGTATTTCTCGTCTTATACTAACTTAGTAGCGTACGAGTTAATCATTCTACTTATCATTCTATTTTGGTGAGATATCGATCTAAATGAGCATTTCATAAACAATGGTCTTAATATTTGAATGCCCTCCAGTTGAGCAAAAAGTCTGATGTCTTTTACTTTGTTCGTCTTCAAGCATCGCAGCAGCAATTGTCAAGATGTAACTTGCACTTTTATGTTTGGAACTTTATGATGAACCTTTTTTCTTTGCTTGGTTGGATCAATAGACAATTGGCGACCACGCTTCCAAAGGCTCGCAATCTTGACCGGGTGGAACCAGCTGGAAAACAGAGAACTCCTCCTGATTGCCACCTGTCACCTCTTCATGCAATCCATCGCTGAGTTGACTCGACAGCTCAACGATTCCAAACCCTTCACTCTCCAACTCACCTAAGCTTGCACTCGTCCACGGCCTCACCTCGGTGGCTCCCCACACTGTTGTTTCCTTCCCACATACTTTCTTCAGCGTCTTGGCCAGTCCACCCATTTCCGCAGCATCGAAGAACACGTCCGACAACAGCACCAAGTCGACGTGGCCTAACTCACTGAGCTGACTCGGTAACTCATCCGATCCCCAAGCGAGTTGACACGCCAGAACTCGGTCGCCAAGTCCATTGACCTCCACATTCTTCTCCAATAACGGAATTAGTGGCTTTACATCTGTCAGTACGACTCGGCTGGCGCCAAGCCGAGCTGCCGTCAATCCAGGAAGCCCCGTTCCAGCACCGAGTTCGAGGACAGTTTTGTCACTCAAATCGTAGTCGAGTTGGTGGGCTCGAGCTGATATCCAATTGGATAACACTACAGCCGCGTCCCAAATCCATGACCCAGTGAGTGCACGTCCCGTTACCGAGTCACAGACGTCTTCCAACTCGTGTATGAGTAACTTGTTTCCAGTAGCTACTTCTATTTCTCTTATGCCCATTTTTTGTACTCTTCGAATTAAAATTGAGTGTTACCCAAGTTATCTATGAGCCTCTATAAATATATAGAGAGCAAAATTCTTATAGATTTCCGGAGGATACTTCAAATGCCTTTTCGTCACTTCGTTTATTCTTATCGCTTACCTTTTTATGTTTGTGTAGGCATTTTTCTCCTTCGATAGGCATCTGATTCCAGCATATTAAAGAGTGGTCTAGAGCAGCTTGTATTCTGTAACTTATAGATTATACTTAGCATAGACCAATTAATTATGGGAATAAATATTTGTAGAAGTATATTGAAAAAGTGCATGAAAAGGCTCTTGTAACTGATAATAATTTATCTACTTGTCTAGTTTTCATTTTTATTGATTTTGACTTTGTTGTTTCTTCTACCATTTTTCTACAATTTAGTACATTAGCATGATATCATAGATGACATTACAACTTCTTATGTCGTTTGATTGCCTTTTCTTTTTCTTTGTCCTTGTGTGGGCTTCCACCGGACAAATGAATCTATTACCAAGTCTTCCTTTTTCTTATTGCAATATGTTGCTCAGTCATTTCCATCAAATACTGTTGAGGGTAGAGCTCAGTCATGATATTAGGTTCAAATTCAGATTTTCGTTATAGTTTCTGCATGTTCTCTCCTTTGCTTTAGCTTCATGGTTGTTTTTTGTGGTTTTCTGATTTTACTTCCTGTGGGTGTGGCTGTCTACGTAGAGGAAAACTTAAATGAGATAGTACAAAAATGTAAAATTTACATGTGCATGGCAAGGAAAATTTGAGGGGAACATGATACTTGATAGCAGTTTTGTCTGTAACATTGAACACTTAACTCTTTTTTTTTTGAGGTACAGAATCATATTAAACATGGTCAAATGCTCAAAAGATCTAAGGGAATAAAGGGGAAAAGTATCCACATAGAGAAGCAGCATAAAACATTAAGAATGGGATGCAAAAAATTCTCATCCTTCCTTTTCCTTAGAAGCCTAAAAGTGGCTGAGGCCATCACCACTAAATTAGTTGAGCCCTTTGTTACGGGAAGAATGGGATGTCAAATTCATGATGATCAGATTATCGGACTCATACTTCTCCTTGTTGGTTTAGTGGTAAAAGGTCTTTGATGCTGGTTTTCAATGGTGATTTAGTCGGTGGCTAGTGAAGACAATTTTGGTTTCTTGAAAAATGAATGCATGGTTGTTTTGGCTTCTTTTCTATTCCAACCACCTGGTTTTACAATTATGTAGCAGCAGTCTAAATAATGGAGAGGGAATGTCCTCAACAGGAATTTGATCAATCTGCAACCCCAACTTACAGCCTAGATGAAGGATGAGATTCCTTCTTATGACTTATGGGCATGTGGTGTGGCTTTTCAATTGTCAGATGCAAGTGCAACCAACAAAAAAAAAAAAAGTAAAATTTAACGATCAATTTTTCATGCATTTTAGGTATAAGAATTTTATTTTTTTTACACAAACAGGTTTGAAATGAATCCACGAAAAATGACTTTAATTCAGATTTAAAATTTTCATTTTGCATAAGTTGTTATGTATTTAAGGGTGTTCGTGTAAATAAATCATTACACTGACGGATTAGAAAAGATTCATCTAAAATTTAAATCTGTAAAATTATTAACACTATCCTGTGAATCATTACAGCTAATTAACAATGGACAAGTTTGCATGATAGGTCACATACTACCATTTTTTATACTCCATTTACAAATATGGCTCTCAACTTAAATAATAAGATTGATGATATTTTTTTTAAGAAAATGTTTTTTAACCCTACATATATTAATGTGTCCATGATTTATTGCACTAGACTACTTGATCATAGCATTCCCTTTATGTGGGATCCTGAGTACCACCTCCACTAGCAAATACTTCCTCGAGGGGGTAACTCAGCCTCATCCTTGATCTCAGCATTGTCAAATTACTTAGTTATTTTTACTGTGGCTAATGCATGATCCTGCTGCCTAATGTGACAATGGTTAGAAATCACACGTCTCAAAGCCAACCTACCTAGTATTCTCCCTATAGTTATCAATTCACTCGATTTTTTGAGGATCCAAACTAGTGCTTTAGACTATAAATACTTTCCTTCTTGCTCATATAAATTTTTGAACTCCTAATCGCTGACTTAGGCATTGAAATCATCTCGAGAGACAAAACCCTGATTCTGTAACTTCATTTTTCATTGTATTTGCAGGTAAAGATAATACGTTCCACGTTACCCATAAAAAATTTCTGGTCATTGTTGGCCCTTGTGCTTAGCCATGCATCAATTAGTCCATACTATGTATGCTCAAAACACACATTTTGTCATCTTCAATTGCCAACCTTTACAATTGTCACAAGTAAAGATGCTAAAGCAGCATATCCATGGATCTCATCGAGCTCCTCTTGGGAGGTGGTTGGGTAATTGTTGTGTATGATAGAGGGAAGGGCTTCAGCCTCCCATTTGAGGGGGGGGGAAAAAAAGACTTGATAATATAGCTATAGATTAAACGAAGTTTTTAGAGTTTCTAGTAACCAACTGAGAAATTCTACCATCTCTTTTGAGTATCATGCTAATAATTATAATCTAATAAACTCTTATCACATCATTCAATAATTTAAACTCTTAAAATCATCTAAGTATCTCTTTTTATACATCCAATCCAACGGTGAATTGATACGTAACGATATACTACCCAAAAGATATTATAGAACTCCCCTGAATTATAATCCTCCCTCGATGATTCTCCACTAGATTATTAGTTTCCCATGGATGATAGAACATAAACATACTTGGAAGCTTTGTTGAAGCTATAAATTTACGAGATTAGAGCCTCACTGCATATTTTGTTTTTTCTTTTTCTAGAGGAGATTCGAAACGAAATTAGTACTACTAGCTGAGTTACAATTTTGGGAAGTACGTATAATTAATATGGAAAAGGAAAGCATGCCTATGAGAGATATCTTGAAATAATTGTGTAGCTTTCAAACAAAAGAAACATTTAGAAGCCAAAGCAGGAGAGAATAATCACGGGTGAACACGTGATCTGCACACGTTAATCGGCCATCTGTCATATTACTTGGCATTCGGCAGTTAAAAGTTAAAACCTAACTATTTCCAATTTGCTTTTTCCTTTACCTTTTTTTTTTTTTGGGGTGGGGGTCCGGGAGACGGGGATTATGAAAAAGGTTGGAATATATTTTTTTGTCAAAAAAGAACCAAAAAGAAACTGACAAGAAAAGGACCAGCAGCAGGTGGAGGAACGGTTTGTGGGGTCTACCTTTTTTTTGACTTTTTTTTTTCAATAGGAGTCACAATTGAGAAGTCGTTAATGATCGTTCTTCAGCTCTCCGACTGATGGTAATACTAATAGCCCCTCCCCTTGCTTCTATTTCCCGTCTTGCCCTTACTCGGCGGATTCCCAAAATTATTATAAATTTTTTTTTTTTTGCGTTTCTTTCTTTCTTTCTTTTTTGGGAATAATTTGATGTAAGAATTTTAAAAGAGTTTCCACTTCTTTTGAGCGATTTAAAAAATTGAACCCCAATTACGGATTAATGTATATTCTTGAAACAATTTTCATTTATGTTCTTTTCGTGTACTACGATATATGCTGAAAACGTTTCCATATGTTTCCTTTTTGTTAAAAAAAAAAATAGCACGGAACAAATGGGACTTAAGAAGCAGAGAAGGGACAGGTGAGGATTTGTTTTCTTATAAATCCTAATTTAAGCAAAGTCGAGAAATACTTATGAGCAACAAATTGATAAGAATGAAATTTTTACATACATATTTTTTTTTACATGGCTTTTGTTGTGCTCTTTTTTCTGTCTTTTCAACCATATATCTCTACATTGCTCAATCAAAATCAAATTATAATATGTACAATATTTCTTGACTAAAACCCTTAATTGCGGTTAAAGGATTTATGATTCAAATTTGGCTGCTAAGTTTTAGTCGACACGTTAAACGATAAGCCTGCATGTAAATATATATTGCGCACCGTCCTAAACTTCTACAAGTAGTACATGCTAATAATAATGAGTGCTGACCAAGCATTGGGTAGAGCTTTAGGCAATTTTTTCTTTGTATTATTTGTCTGGTTTTGTAGTCAGCCTTGGACTACTTTGGATAAACTGGTTTTTTTTTTTCCGGATAAATATAAAGGAATTATGACTCAATGCACGTTGAAGCTTAGAATAACACGTAATTGTCATCCGAAGGTCTAGTACATATCTCGAGACCTAACTTTACAGGTAAGAACATTGATCAAGTGTCCGTTCATGAGATTTTAATTCGACTTTCAACTCTTCTCCTTTTTCTCCTTCTCCTTTGCAATCCAAAGGTCTAGTACATAGCTTGAGACCTAACTTAACTGGTAAGATTATTATTGGTCAAGTATTCATTCATGAGGTTTAATTTGACTTTCAACACTTCTCCTTTTTATTCTTTTCCATTGGAAAATTTGGAGTCTTCCTTTCGACAAGGTAAAATGGAAAGTGAATATGTATATGTTATCTATCTCACACGTCCTCCCGACAAGGATTATTGCGTTCATGTGACAACGCTAGTGAATCCAAAAGAGTGAACCTTCCACCCTTTGAATCCTGTCTTCCGGCTATTCTCAACTGTATCTTATGACCTGACCATAGTCTGTGCCTCATCTAGGGTCAAAAGAACGGATGAACACGTATATATTCATGTAATTGTCAATGGTTTTGCAGGATAACAAGTTGTACATCAGCTTGAAGAAGTGATATTTCATGGCTAAAAGGCTCGTATTTTTTGAGATTTGTTTCTTTTAGTATCGATGGCATTCAGGGTTTTGTTCTTTTTTTAATTTTTGAGGAACAAAACGTCCGTTCAAGATGTAATTGATACTAACGCATGAATTGCGCTATAGGATTCAGGTGAACAAAGAGAAACTATAAGTTATTCGAAATTGTCAAAAGAACGGATGAACACGTACGTTCATGTAATTGTCAATGATTTTGCAGGAAAACAAGTTCTACATCAGCTTGAAGAAGTGATATTTCATGGCTAAAAGGCTCGTATTTTTTGAGATTTGTTTCTTTTAGTATCGATGGCATTCAGGGTTTTGTTCTTTTTAAAATTTTTAAGGGATGAAATATCCATTCAAGATCTAATTGATACTAACGCATGAATTGCACGATAGCATTCAAATGAACAAAGAGAAGGTATAAGTTATTCGAAATTGGCTAACCAAACCAGAGGGGCTGGCACATATATTGAAGCTTCCAAAATTTGAAGTTGATGTTTCCATCATGTTACGCTTCTTTTTTACGTGGAAAGACTCCTACTATTACATTTATGTCCAAACTCAAACTTCAATTTATCATTTTGGTTACTTTTTTTTTTTTTTTTTGGAGGTAGATTCGTCATCTACCCTCCCACAAGTTTTCTTGTACACATTCCAGATGATTTAAAGAAAAATTTGCAGAGAATGTAAAGAAGCATGAATCTATTCATCTCGTGACTCTCATTTTGGCAGCTCATTTACTTTTTTAAAAAATGATATATTTAATTTATCTAAATAAATTACGAAAATTCCTTTCTTCCTTGATGTCGAAGGACACCGACTTGTGTAAGTGTTTGTCCTGTTGCCTTTCACTCAAAGAAGGATAGCATAGTTTAGCCCATATGAAAAGGATGCAACCAGATTAGCTGAAACGTGGTAATCTCCATGCTCGCATGTTAGATTTAACAACATTAAAAATTAATTACTTGTGTAGATTGGCTTCTAACCAGTTAACCTAACTTGAATAATCTAATGTTTGCTTATATTTCATGTCAACTACCACAATTTAATTATTTAATTAGTAGTAATCCTGATGCTGCTTGACGTGTAACCTTTTTTTTGGCATTTATGTTTCTTGTACAACAGATTAATATCATATGATGGATACTAAGATTTGAATATATTTTATTGTATATATCAGGAACAAATAAAGGTCCCGTTTGGATTGCTATTTCTTTAGGATTTTTATCGAAACGTATAGTATAGCGATTTGACATATGCGAGAGATAAAAGAGTAATTGATAAATGTATTTATAAAAAGAGTAAATCTTTGGGCTGCTCGTGCAAAATGAGTAACCATTTTCATTATACAAAGATGAATGACTATTATTTACAGATGTATGTGAAAATGTTGACCGGTTCCCTCTGCTCTCCATTTTTTAAGAGAGCAGGTGGTGGCTTGGTCCACTAATTGCTATTTTTTCTTCAATCTTTTGAGTTCTTGTGTAGATTGACAACTGCAAATTTTGGATGAAATTTTTTATCACTGACAAAATTGACTGCAGGCAGATTGAATTATTGAACTTGGCTGATCCGGGCAAATGGCCAACGCAACATAATCAATAATCAGTAGTATATCATTAGGAATCAATTTTAGCAAGTATCAAGATTGCTGCATCATGCATATTTCTGTGGACATATTGGTTTGAGCAAGACAAATGAGCAAATTGCTAGATGAGGAATGCACTGCCTGTGTTGGTTAGACATATGGTAATTGATTTTTTTTTTCCCTTTTTAACTCTCCCACCACTCTCTGTATCGTTCCTACCTCTAACTATTAGGTTCATAATTCGAACCCCTAATCTTGTCGTGAGTAAAAACTGTGTGCGCCGTAGTCATGGACGAATATCTCAATGAAAACATAAAAATGATTAACAAAATTCATACCCCCTATACTTAAAACTCATAAGATGAATATTATACAACAATTTTTAATAGCTTCATTCATGATATGTAAAATTTGTCGCTTCAATTTTAGTCTAGTAGTGATACAAATATCATTTCAATTTCAAGAATTAGAGGTTTTGGATGCAGTTCTCACAATATAATATGAGTTTCGTCTGGTTGTGTGTTAGCATTTACATTAATCGTTTGTGATTTAGTTGTTATCTCCTAATATTGATCCTACAATTAGAGATTAATTTCAATCTTATAAAGAAGTACGTAAATTGTGAAATCTCTTTAAAACTCTCTATATCTATATGGACTTAAAATAGCTTTATCAACATAAGTAGTTGATGGGTCACAAGGGGGGGGGGGGGGGCAGGTATGTGTTCCAACAGCTTGTTTTTTTCTTGCGTAGTTAACTTAATCAAGTCAAAAACCAAGCTACATCATGGCTTCATTTTCAGCTTAGCAATTGAGTATCACTGTCATATTCTAGTGTCTTTTTCCCTAAAAATTGTTGGCGCTCCCTTATCTCTTCCAATAGTGTCTCATGCTGCTTTATTCTCTACCCTGAAAAGTTACTAAAAAAAAAAAAAAAAAATCTGAAATGCCATCATATAATTATTTTTTTTAAGTGTGAGCAGGAGGTTTCGAATTTGAAATCTCTCATTTATATTTTTTCCCCCATATCATATGATTTTTTGTATATAAACTCGGAAATTTTATGGTCGGGTAATTTTACGATAACAAGTGAATTATAAGACGCTAATTGGAGTTTGATAACAAGTCCAACTGTCCTGTGGAATTTGTCCCATCTTAGTTCTTAATGTTATCTTATCTGATAAAATGGACCATGCAATGATTTTCTTTCTATTATTATACACAGATGGTATGGTGCTAGTATATCTTTCCCTTTCGTCACAAAGTTTTCTTCAAAGATCAGAAATGGAGCTCACCTAATACTGTGCCGTATTCTGGAATCTCAAGTCTGAACACCGGACATCAACCAGAAGAAAGATGTCTTCTTCCCAATCCTTTCTGCCATTGTTCTGGGCCCGACGGAGCAACCGAAGTGTGTTAAGATCACAGTAGTATTTAACGGAATTATTGTCATGTGGTGTCCATTATGGAAGGCAAGCCAATAATGTGCTAATTAAATTTGGACCATCCCATTTTTATGAAGTGAGACTTTTAGAGGAAAGCAGGAAATTATGACAAGGATTCAGTCACTAAATGGGAATCTGCCTTGTTTGGATTGCTGTTTTCCGTCAAAAAATTACGTCGTTTTCCGTGATCACATTTCCTTATTATCTTTTTTACTCACATACATCAAATCGCTATAGTAATTTTTCCATGAAAAATCACAAGAAGTAATTTTTCTGTCAGTAATTGTTTGGTTAATAACAAGAAGTTACGCTTTGTTATTTTGTAAAATAATCAAGGATTTTTTTTTTATTGGATGTCCATTGAACACTTGTTTGTAACACAGATAATATATTATTTGGATGCTTGCGATTATACTTAAACTTAAAGTAAATATTATATACACTGACAGTAAATATATTATCACGGATGAACTCATGATATACGTGCAAAACTCGAATTTCAAATTCAAATTTTATATAATTATCATTCATTCAATACTGATGGTGTATACACTCTTAGTGTTTAAAATATTAATCCTTATACTTATGGCTCTTTTGGAATTTAAGCACTTTCTCGATTTACATCTCAAACTTATTTTAAAAGAGTATCCTATCCTATCCACTAAGCACTCATCAAAGTCAATCAGGTTGTGCAATTGTGCTTGGATTGCCTCTTCCCAAGAAAAAATTGCAATATTTTTCGTGAACATATTTTTCAATCACATTTCTACTTCATATATATCAAATCGCTACAGTAATTTTTCTACAAAGAGTCCATAAAAATACAATCCAAACAAAGCATAATATATTGTTATGAAACAAATTTTTTTTTATTGGATTTAGCATTGCAAATGAGTGAAGATATTTTAGTAGAAAAAAGCCAAAATAGAGTCAAAGGTCCTCAGAAACCAAGCAACTGTCCAAATTATGGTACATACGCGTACTTATTGCAAAATTGACACTGTAAAAGATATTTCGCAGGTATGTAGTGGTCATGTTTTTCTTCAATACAGCTAATTCGCTTATTGAATCTTTATACACTAAAAAAAGAAATGTTTCTTGTCATTTATGTTTGAAAGCAACTTGCCATCACCAAAAACAGGAAAATCCTCATTGCCCCAACTAAATGATGGGATTACATAATCCCAAAACCTCTAAAGACATCCGTAAGTAACTATTAACTAATAATAAACAATATATTCTCCTTATTTAGACATTGGAAACCAAACATCATAAATTTTGAAAAAGAAAACACCTATGTTTGGATTGTAGTTTTCTAACAAAAACATTTTTAAATCACATTTTTATTTTTTATTTTTTTGGTAACTCGGAACATGTCCCGACTCAAACCGTTAGAAGCGGAACCGGCACATCAAATCGGAGGAGTGCGCCATGGCCCCATGCAGCGACCCCCCACGCAGCGACCCCGGACAAGTCATTGAGGTTCAAGTTTAGGGTAAGATTCAAATTTAAACCTACAAAAAGTCTTTAAGAGCCTACTTACCGCTGGACCACCTCCGTGAGGGCATTATATTTTTATTTCGTATATATCGAATCGCTACGTTATATTTTTTGTCTGAAAGCTCTAAAAAATAATAATCTAAACGGGACCTTTTCTACCGAAGGTTCAAGAAAAGAAAAAGAAAAAAAAATCCCAACAAATCCCAAAAAATCAACAAGAAGATCAGAAACCAATGGCATATCAGAAGTTTACCCAAAAAAGGAGGAGAATTGTGTACGGGAAAGCGAGAGAGGAGGGACACGAAAGTGAGGAAAGTCACTGGACACACTGTGGATCTAAAACGGAGTCTGTCCAGCACAGCACTGTGTTGAGTCCTGAGTGAGTTGGACTCTTTTATGACTCTTTTCTCTGCTGCCTTCCTTTTTTGTTCTCTTCTTTCTCTCCTTCTTCTTCAGTCTTCTTCAGTCTGCTCTGCTTTCTTCGCTTCATCATTCTTCTTACACACACTCACGCACTAGAGCCTCCTTGCTCTACTCCTCTTTTTTTCATCACTCTCCATTCTCTCCGTTTGAATTCCTTTCAATCTAATCCAAAACCATAAAGTAATGTAAAGGAAAAAGGGGAAAAGCTTCCGTCCAGTCACCATCACTATCCAATACGTCACTCAGTCTCGCTCCTTTTTTTTTTTTTGGTTTTTTGAAAAACAAATATAAGAAACGCCGAGAAATTCATTGATGAAGGAAGAGAGGTGTATATATACAAGTATACGCAAAGATAGGAAGACGAAAGAGTCAATTTTATTGAACGCTCCAGAATTCTCCGTTCTCTCCTGGTAAGTGAAAATTCACTAACTTTGTAGTTAGTATGGGAATTTAGTTCATGTTTAGGTGAAATTTAGTTTGAAAATGAGGAATTTGATGTTGTATATACTTACATGCGTATAAATATGCATACCTGTATTTGATTTTTTTTGGATATAATGTTTGTTTGTTGAGTAAATTTTGTGTTTTTTGATCTGCATTACTTGAAGAAATGATTTACCGGCGTGATCGCCAATGCGGAATCGATTCTTCATTTACATGTTAGTGAAGTTCTCTCGGGTTTTGTCTTGTGTGCTTCTTTTATTGGTTGTTTCTGATGTTTGTGTTTTTGTACCCTGCCTTTCGCCGCGTCTCAAATTCAATTCTTATGCGTCTTGATTTTTAGCGTTTTTGTTGTCTAATTAGGAATCGATGAATAAGTGTTTTTTTCCTTCTATTTTTTTTTGTTAGAATTTTCTGGACTACCAGGGAAGTAAGTAAAAAAAGAGAAAATTTGTGGTTCTTCTATCAATTATCTTAGTAACATGTAGAAAACAAATTGTAGATAAAAGATACAGATATCCAATTATATATGTTTATTCACTCAAATGCATACTTTTGCTCTGCCGGCATGAGTTTAGCTCCAAGATTGTCCCTTCACCCCTGCCACGTTTTCTCTTTTTTTTTTTTTTGGGGGGGGGGGGTGGTTGAGGGTTGGGGGAACTGGGGGATGAAAGGGTCCCAACTTTTCATTAACTACTCTTTCTTATGTCCTTTCTTTTTTTTGGGTTAACAATGCAAATGTAGCATCGGGATTACAGCATATTTGAATAGCTTCCAAGATGGCCAAACTTTGTGTATCTTCTATGTTTAGGAATTTTCTATATGATTGATCTCTTTTTGTAAAAATAATACTCAAGAAAAGGTTCTAATTTGCAGGATATGTTGAATGTAATTGGCTTCCCGGACTGGGACTTCGTGGAACAGTCTTGATGATGAATGGTCTATCTCTGATACATAAGGGGCTATATGACCGCTGAAGATAATCTAAAGCAATATTTTGGTTTTGCTTAGATTTTACAGATTTTACCAAGCTGAGCAGTAGACCGGGATTTGAGCATTTTCATTCATGTATTGGAAGTGATACATTTTGCTTTCTTAGTCAGCTGTGATGTGTCCAGTGCACACTCAATCTTTGCTTTCCTGGTGTGTTTTGTCTGGACATCTTCTGATTAGTGTGCTATCTTTCTGTTTGGGGCAATATATAACTCAGCCAGCTGACTTAGGAAAGACGTTGGATCCTCAGTCTTGGCCAGTTTTAGGTAATAGGTCCAAAAAGAATTATGCTTTTGGCATTCGACAACCAAGATACACGTCCCTGAAAAATGATTTTTTATCTTGTGAGGACCTAGAGGGTGTTGGATCATTTGATACCACTTGCTTGTTGAATTCAAACCTTTTTGTGAATTCTGATATTCATGTTTTCGGCACTGGAAACTTGGAGATACTTCCTAGCGTTTCAATTGCTTGCCCTGTTAAAGGATGCATTATACATTTCAATTTATCTGGCAATATTAAAGTGGGAAATAATGCGGCCATAATTGCTGGTTCTGTTGTCTTTGCTGCTGGCAATCTGACTCTGGGGGCTGAATCTTCTATAAACACGACAGCGTTGGCTGGGTCACCGCCTTCTCAGACCAGTGGGACACCCGTTGGCAATGACGGAGCCGGTGGAGGCCATGGTGGCCGCGGAGCATCCTGTCTGAAATCTAATGAGACAAGTTTTTGGGGTGGTGATGTTTACTGTTGGTCTAGTCTGTCCAAACCATGGTGTTATGGGAGTAAGGGTGGCAGCATGTCTGACCAACATAAGTTTGGAGGAAAGGGTGGAGGACGAATTTTACTTCATGTTAAGGATGTTTTGTCTATAAATGGATCTGTAACTGCAGAAGGTGGGGATGGAGGACTAGAGGGGGGAGGAGGATCTGGTGGTAGCATATTTATTCGTGCAAAGAAGCTGTGAGTCACTTTCTGATTTGACTACTTCAATGTCGCTGTTTCTTTTTCGTTCTTCTTTTTAGTTTTTCCAGAATGCTGGTAAATCAATTGTTGCTGTCAAGCTGTCTGCTAACAAAAGAATATAAGGACTTCCCAGCATGAAAGAAAAGGCAGGCCTATGAGTGTAACAAACACCATATCATACCCACTACTTTTTGTGCAAATGAAATAGCTCAATGAATTCAATTTGAGCATTATGCTATAATCCTGAATGACAAAAACTGTTCAATCTGTGATTTCCATGCAAGGCTCCCCCCCCAGCCCCCACCAACAACAAACACCAAAAAAAAGATTTTTTTTTCCTTTCTTCTTCTTCTTCTTCTCTGGATTCAGAAGGTGATTGATGTAAATGAAGTTAAGGTAAAAGATCTTGTTTTCTATGTTGCTTAGAACTATTGGTCTAGTAGTTTGAATCTCATAGAAGTCATATGCTATGGTTCCAGAGTGACATTTGTGGCAACTCTGTTCACAAGTAATTTTTAAAGAAACTAGATCACCTTTTACACAGTCTGCTTCTTTGTCATGTACTTTGTCTTGTTTCCTAAATATGTTAGTTGTTTTATGGGTGCTGATTAGGTTTCTTATGCATCAAAGGAAAGCATATCAAATACAGGACAAATTATCGTCGTTAAGAACCAACACTTAATGTGGCATTTATGAACCAGTAGCACTTGTGAACTGGTTTATTTTTAGGAGATGGTAAAGTTGTCATGTGAAAAAGCAAGAACAAATATAACTACTTAATGGCAAAAGTAGCAGTCGGAAGAAAAGTCGTGTCATATCAATTAGGATAATGAATACAAGAGGCAGAAGGTAGGGGCTCCAGTAGGAAGATATCAGACAATAACATACTGTAAGACTTCTGGACAAGGTGGACTGTATATACAACAAAATGTGGCAAAAGAGTATTTTTTTCAACAGTAATCTTCTAATTTTCTTCTTGTCCCTACTCTGTCTAATTTCAGTAAATTTTACTCGAAAATGTGACTACAGTTGAATGCAAACATTAAAATGAAAACTACAACAACCTCCACGAACAGACCTTTTTTCAGTTAATTATAGTGTTATAACTACATAGATATATACAATAGTTCCGCAAGCAGCAATCAGATGAATTTTTTGTTTCCAATTTCATGCCTCTCGTAACTGTTGCATGAGTTTTTGTATGCAGGAAGGGATTTGGTATCATCAGTGCAGCTGGTGGTAGAGGATGGGGTGGTGGGGGAGGAGGAAGGATTTCTCTGAATTGTTACAGCAAACAAGAAGATGTAAAAGTCACCGTGCATGGTATGTATTGGTTTCAGCTGAATCTAGTTCTTTCTAGTAAAGTCGTTGGTTCCTTCTTCTATTGGACTCTCACTTCCATCAACAGTGACGCTTTTTGGAATAGTGGGTTTGATATATATATATATATATATATATATGTATGTATATCTGTTTGATAGGAACTTAAAGACTTTCTATTTTGTTGCGTATCGATCAGATGATTAAATAGGACCATTTAGCTTTATTGGTTTGATATTCTTGGTATCTGCTTCTAGTGAATCATACCAATAAGCTTCTCGGTGATACTTCTGTAAAAGCTGATATGCCGTGACACACACAGACAGCGATGGATAACACAAGCCAGCACACCTGTAGAAATCCATGTACATACAGACCAATACCAACGTATAAATCTGCTCTCAAAGATATGCCCATGTAAATTGAAAGCTTCATGCTTTAAAAAAAGGCTGGGTTCTAGCATGAAGGTTAAGAACGAACAGGATTAGAATTGGCCATTAACCAGGAGCACTTTATTTTTTTATTTCTAAATTGGAAATCCTATAAATGTATCCTCCCAGTATTTTGATTTAGTCAAGTATATCTTTTTTCTTTCTCGAGGAAATTCGAGCTTTTGACGCGTACATGTTGAAATGATTTTCTACGATTTTGCATTCATCGTCCACTGTTGCAAATAATTAATTAAGATCACTGGTAGAATTGCCCATAAAAATTTCTCATTATTCAATTCCCATGATAAAGTGGTTAATTTTAAATGGAAGTTATGGAAGTTAATTTTAAAGTGCTGAACCTTGGGTAGATATAGAATTGCTGTTAAGTTGTTGTTGAGGGTAACTGGCTGCTTGGATTAATTAAGGGCGACAACTGAAGGTGACTTCTAGTAATTATGAATCGTCTTGCCAGACTAATACATCTTTTTGTGATTTTTGTCAGTTTGTAATACGGAATATAAAGCAATACTAAGAAATTGTAGACTAATTGGATTCTGCTACTGAACCCCAACAATTATGATTAAGATGAAATGACCCATCAGACCAGAAGATGAAATGTTTGTCTGACACAATTATGAGGAATGCTTTATGTCTTGCCATCACATTGAAACAAATAGAACTCCAATGGAAATTCCTTGTTAAATCCTTTGGAAATTCCAATAGCTATCATTGCTTCTCCCTGGTATGTCTGTAAAAGAAAATATGTGTTGCTTTGTGGATTCCCTTTTCCTCCAGTGTTTTATCTCTGCATTCAGAATTAGCTTAAGTTACATGATCTGGGTTCGCTGGCAGGTGGTTTCAGTAGTGGATGCCAACTGAATGCTGGAGCAGCGGGTACTTATTTTGATGCATCTGTACTGAGTCTGCGAGTTAGTAATGACAATATTACTACCGAAACAGAGACTCCTTTGTTGGATTTCTCTACTAGTCCTCTCTGGACAAATGTTTATGTGGAAAACAATGCTAAAGTTTTGGTGCCTTTGCTCTGGACAAGAGTTCAGGTGTTTCTTTAAATCATATTCCTTTACAATAAAATAAATGAATGTCTCCATATATCTTCTAGTCATAATTTCATTCCTTCGTGTCCGCTACATGACTGTGATATAGATCTTTTTGTGTGAGGGACATTTATGCAAATCTCTCTCTCTCTCTCACACACACACACACACTCACCCTGATCTGAATTATTGCTCATAAAAATGTCTTACCTTTTTATACGTTGGATCAGAAAGTTTAACACTTTTATATCTATTGCCATCATTCTTCTTTTGGAACTTGATGCTGGAATTTAATGAGACCTGGAATGAAGTCTGTAATGGTGGGAATTTCTGCTACACCAAGGAACTTGAAATTAAAGAGGACTGAATTGAGACCATTTTTTAAAAGACTCCTTGTTGATGGGTTGATATTTTTGTGGTAATTTTCACATCTTAACCAGGGTCATTGTCTTTTGGTCAGCTCTTCTCTTTTGGATTATTTCTTTGCTCTTGAGCTCTTTAGTGAGTTTCTATAGTAGTCTTATATAGGATGTCGGCAGGGATTAATTGGTTTACTAATTATTCATTAGTTGACATGCTTTCACCACTGGATATGTTAATGAAGGCAACATGTTTAGTTTACCTGTTTTGTGAACTTACAGAATGCAATATCAATGTTCACCTAGTGATATTTGATGTACAATGTACATCAGAATTTGTTGCAAAAGAGTTAACAAATATCAAGATTTTACTATGGAGGAGGGAAAAAATCATTCCTACTATTTTCTTGCATAGTCAAAAAATAGCGATCCAAATCTACATAGTTCTAGACTTTTGGGCTCTGAAATGACTTAGAAACTAGCAAGTATGCTGACCTGTGGGGATAGACTGTCTACATCTGAAATACTCTTAATTATGTTAAGTGTTTAACAGACTCATGGATTAACTTTTTGACATCTGCTTATCTTTTGTTTTAACATCTGCTCTTTATGAAGGTTAGAGGCCAAATTAGCCTACTTTATGGAAGCAGCATCAGTTTTGGGTTGTCTGATTATCCAGTCTCTGAATTTGAGCTTGTAGCCGAGGAACTGCTGATGAGTTTTTCTGTGATAAAGGTAAAAAGGTTCACTTGTGTCAGTTGCTGCATTTAATATACACAAGCTGGTATTGTGAGTTTATTGTGACGCTAAACATAGCTAACAGTGTTGCTTTACTTCTGAACATGATCGAAGATAACGGTTTATGTAAAAAGAAAGAGAGAAATATATGCCATGCTTGGGCCTCTGAGGTGCATACTTATTTTATGCTTGCTGAGTTAGGAGATAGCCAATGTTTGTGCAAGCATGTTAAGATAGACTTACATATTCAGAATTATGAACTCAAAAGAGCATTAGAGGATTAGTCTTACTTTTAAGTCTTTTATTGGAACTACAGATTTTTCACTTAGTAAGTTGCTAGGAATTTCTTTTATAAGTGCTGAATAATCTTCACCTTTGCAAATCACTTTATTACTGGATTTGACCTAATTATGTATTGAAAGGACTGCAAATGTAGAGAACATATTATAAGAAAAAGAAAAAAGTCTGCATGTCTACAAGAATTTCTGGACCTTGAGCACCAGAGCTTGCAGCAATTGCCAATTGATGGTAATGTTGTATGGAATTTTCTCTTCTAGCATGACATATGTCACTGTAGACATCTAAAAGGATGGATTCATTCCACCCTGCAGCGTTGATTTTAACTTGGAAAATCCCTGGACTATTTATAAACAGTGCATAATTTAGTGCACAACTAGGAAGGCACTGGATGTTGCCTGTTTCTTGAAACTGACTCCTGGTATTGTCGGACATGATTTTGTAGAGTTTGGAAGCCGATTACCTTCAGGGGTTTGGACCAAGCACATCTAAGTTTCCATGTCAGATCTGCAGCAAGACCTTGTATGCTCACTTATAATGGTTGACCTTTAGAAGAAAATCTACCGGAACTGAAATTCTGTAATATTTGGTCTATATGTGCACTAGGTGGAGGTCCAATCCTATGGATAGTATCCAAATTTTGATAAAATTTTGTTCTGTGCAAATATATCATTATTTCATCTATCTCAACTTCGATGCTTGTTTGTTGCCCTGTGACAGTAAAAGACATGAAGTTGTAAATACTTATGTCAGGTGCTGTTCTTTTGGCCTTGAGACAGAATGATGCTAGTAAAATCCATGTACTGTTCGTAATATGTTCATTGATATGGTAATCTATTGCAGGTGTATGGTGCACTCAGAGTTGCTGTTAAAATGTTGCTCATGTTGAACTCCAAAATTGAAGTTGACGGTTGTGGAAATACAGTTGTTACCACTTCTGTCCTTGAGGTCCGGAATCTTGCAGTTCTGAAGGTAGCTTATCCAAGTGTGCTGCACATAGACATCAGGGAAATATAGTTTCCGGTTATATTCAGAGGCACTGATCTCCTTTGTTTCAGGGCAACTCTATCATCAGTTCAAATGCAAATTTGGCTCTCTATGGGCAGGGACTTCTTGAATTGACTGGTGATGGGGATGCAATCAAAGGCCAACGAGTTTCCTTGTCCCTATTTTATAACATTACGGTAAGAACCTAGACCAAAATTTGCTGATTTACTTCAAATATCTGAATGTTGGATGTGTAGCAGAGTCTCTACTGAGTTTTAGGGTGAGTATCTGTTTTGCCAGTAAAGCTTGAGTTGTCCAGAGGTTCACTTGAATGTGAATGTATTGAAAATGCAAACAAATCTTAATATGTTGTGGCCACAGGGAAAACCGTGGTGGCAAAGCTCTAATTCAGCTGTAATTTTGCTCATAGTTCCTAATGCACGGTTTGCTTGGCTACCATTTGGATCTTGAATCAGAATAGGCTGCTGTTAGTGAGATTTAACAAGATGTGTCGCATGAAGGGGGAACTCGATAGTGATAGCAAATTATTCGAAATGTTTAATTCTTAAGAATAAGGGACACTAGATTAACTAATACTATCTTATTGTTGTTGATTAGCGGCGGGGAAAGGGATTTTGCTGCTCCTGCCGCCAATCAATACATCAGCCCGTCATTTTACAATATAATTCTCACCTTCTTTAAAGAATTATAATTTTGATACAGTCTTATATTGTCTCACCTTCTCAATAATTGCTTAGAATACTTCTAGGAAGGGTGTTTATATGTGAGTAACAAATTCTGATTCTTTGCTAATGAGAGGTGGTGCTCTCACCTGTTGTGAAAAGGACCAAGTCCTTGGCGTTTTGTCCTCATTCTCCAATTTTGTTTTCTGCTAATTAAATTGGTTCAGTTATGTTTATTCTCCTTTCATGCTAAATAGTTTGAATGTTAAAATTATGTAACCAAGTTTAAAATCATTTTGGTTTTCACTATTGTGAGCTGTTTCTTGGATACACAACTGTTGATTCTGTATGTTTACCCAACAAGACGACGTATTTCTTTCAGGTTGGCCCAGGATCTTTGCTTCAAGCTCCACTGGACAATGGTAGCAGTAGAAGCATGTAAGTAAACACTAGGTGTTCATTTTTGAAGCTCAAAGGTGTTTCAGTGATTTCAATTTCTTGCTGGTTTACAAGTTTGATATAAGCTATCTAACCCTTCAAATAGGGTAACAAAATCTCTTTGTGAGAGCTCTGACTGCCCAGTGGATTTGATTACCCCTCCAGATGATTGTCATGTTAATTATACATTGAGCTTCTCACTGCAAGTAAGTGGTCTTTCTTTGGTGTTATTTTTCCTCTTCCTTTCACAATATGCTAAGCAAGTTGAGTGTTTTTTTTTTCTTTTTCAATATATAGAGTCGAAGGTTGTATGGCTTTGTAGCTTATTCACAGCTGGTTAGTCTATGCTGGGGTATCGGAACAATGTCAGTATAAAATGAAGGTATACCCTTTTGTAGTGCCACAAGTTATCCTGTGGATGGGGAAATTTGGATCCAAAGCTAGACCTGTGAAGTTGACCAGAAACATGAACAGATTTGGCCTCAATTTTACCTCTTGACAACAATTCTATTATTCATATCTAGTATGGGTTATGTGTTGTCTTCTCCCTTTAAATTAACTTGAAGATGAATCAGTACTTATGTGTAGCTTCTTAGTACGTGGTTCATTTACGAAGACGCTTCACAAGATTGATATTGTGGTTCATAGTTTGTCAGTCGTAAGCGTGTAAAGAATAAAACAGGAGAGAAGAGAGAAAACAATTTTAGGGTTTACCTTTTGTCCAAGAGAAGAGAGAAATCAATTTTAAGGTTTACCTTTTATCCTGTGGGAGAGTTTAAGGAGGAATCAGTTGTGATTCCCTTTGCATAAACTTGTCTCTCTGATAATCTATGTAGTCCATTTATCTCCTCAACCATAATTAAATTATCCACAAGTTTCTCTATTTGTGGTTTTCTTTACGTTGCTGATGTAAATCCTCTTTTTCTTGGGCTGAAAAGTATTTTCACACAATTCCTTGCTGTTTTTTAGACTAATTCTCTCTTGTGTGCACTTCTGGTAGATTTGTCGTGTTGAAGACATTCTTGTGAGTGGTGTAATTATGGGGAGCATTATTCACATCCACAGGGCAAGAACTGTCATTGTGGACAGTATTGGCATGATAACTGCATCAGAGTTTGGTAATATTGTTTGTGCATAATCTCTGTTCTGTTTACAATGCTTTCACATTTGCTTTGTTTGGTTTCTTTGGACATCATTAATCAAATCAGAATCCATGCTTTAACAAAAGGATTATGCATAGAAGATTCTTATCTGATTTTGAGCTATACAGGTTGCAGTAGTGGTGTTGGTCAGGGAAACTACTCACATGGGGCTGGTGGTGGTGCTGGACATGGAGGAAGAGGGGGCTCTGGATTTTATAACGGGATCCTCAGTAAAGGTGGCCAGAGATATGGTAGAGCAGATCTTCCTTGTGAATTAGGAAGTGGTTCTGAGGTTCCAAACCTGTCATGTGGAAATATCTCTGGAGGGGGGATGATTGGTAACCAGTTCGAGTAAATTATTGTTCTTATTTTATTTTGCTTATATGAAAATTGTTGTTTTTTCTTTGAAGGTGCTGTTAGTTGTTTTTTCAAGTTTAAAGCATCTAAAATATACTCATTCATCTAGGAAGGACATGACTGCATAACATTTCTTATCTTGATATTGAAATTGGGAAAGGAATCTACTTGAGAGAAAGAAGCTATTTGAAGCATATAGTGATTTTATAGGCTTGACAGATTGAAGGAAAGTTGGATAATCTGCTGCTAAGGGTCCAGCTTTAACTTGAAAGAGTGCATAACTTTATTTCACTTCCAAAACAAAAGAAAAAGGTTCTGCATTTCTACTTGGCAGAAATGTCTAAAGTACTGATTATGTAATATCGATATAGAATTCCCTGTACACAAATTAGGAGCCTAGAAAATAGTGATCTACCCAAGTTTTTCTGATCCTTGTTATTTTTAACAAGTTACCTTACCAGTTCTTGGTGTTCAATCTTTTGTCTTTGCTAGTAATGGGATCTAACCAGTGGCCACTCCTAAGGCTTGATATTCGTGGATCTGTGAGGTCCGATGGTGAAAGCTGTCGTAAAGCAGCAACAAACAGTAATGGCAGTTTGATTGGAGGACTTGGTGGAGGTTCTGGTGGGACAATTCTTCTGTTTTTGCAATCACTTGCCCTTTATTTGAACTCCTCTTTATCTGTTGTTGGAGGCCATGGTGGACCTCTCGGCGGTGGTGGCGGTGGAGGTGGAAGAATCCATTTTCACTGGTCAAATATAGATGCAGGCAATGAATACGTCCCACTAGCAACTGTAAATGGTACTCTCAGCAACAGGTATGTTTAATATCTGATCTATAACTTTTTATGGATCATGCTCATTTTTTTTAAAGATATAGTCTGTTTCTATTTCATGTTTGTCCCAAATTAAAGTAGCAGGACAATCCACATGTATTTTTATCCTGCCATGCAACCAGAGATTCAGAAGTGCAAGCTGAGGAGGCCTTGGTCTAGTGGCTAAGGTTGAGGCTCCAGGAATTTAGAGGTTGTGGGTTCAAACCCCCCCGCCCCTTCCCGTTTCTTATATCCCACCCCTCCCCCCCCCCACTTCTGGAAAAAAAATTTAAAAAGGGAAAACAAGGGGAAAAAAAAGATCCATAAGCACAGTTAAGTGTAAATCCAGATGTTTTGAATTTGAAAAATATAAAACATGCTATTGTGGCTATAACTGTCATGAAAATGGTACTAGTCTGCATATTTATTGTCTGCAACCTCCGTATTGTTTTATATTCATGTTTTTTAAATTCTTACTTGTGTTCTTTTCTCCAGTGACAGCATGCATACATGTCAAGACCCTTGAATTCCCTTTGCATTTTAATTTTTTCTTTCCATTTTCCTGGGTCTCTTTTTTCAAGCTCTTTCTTCATTCCCTCAACTAATCTCTTGTTTTCATAGGTTAAAGTCAATTCTCACTCTTACTAATCCAATCTTTCTTGTCTACTTGTCCATCCCATTTTACAAGTTATCTGCAATTATTTTTGCTACATAGGATCTTCATGATGAAAGTCCACGAAGAGTTCCCATTTGTTTTCTTCTCGAATATTGTGACAATAATAAATTTCATTTATTTGGTTCCGTTGAAAATTGTGGCACTTATTTAGGACAGCCATGATGCATGTTGTTTCATATTAAAACATAAGATGAAAATGGTGCATGTTGTTTCATGATCCTTTGGATTAGTTAAAGTTGTCATATGCCGTATTGTCACCTTGTTGAACTCCTACAAATCCTAAATATCAAGAGAAAGATGATTTTCAACTGTTTTTTTGTTTTGCCACGAAGGCTTAACACAATGCGATGGGTCTGTGGAAGATCATACTTCTTGTTGAGATTTTTGACAATGAGATGAGGGTGTATAGCAATAAATTCATGGCAGGATGTTTTAAACTCAATCCTTCCTGTTTCAGTTGTAGACCATCTAACATTGATATTGTTAAAATCTCCAGTTATTACTGGTCCTATGGTTGGATAGATGAGATGCATGAACATTTTTCTGAAATTCTTCATTACAGTGGTATATGACTAAAAAGATGATTATTTATAGTCTTGTAGAAGAAAAGAGTTTCTAATCTCCAGACTCACATTACTTGCCGTCCAAATTTTAACAGTGGAGGAGCTGGCAATGGAGGTGGTCTTCGTGGAGAGGAGGGCACTGTTACTGGGAAAAAGTGCCCTACAGGTCTGTATGGTACATTTTGTACGGTATGTCTGTATTTCTTTGTCTTCCCACTGCTTTGTTTAGCTGCAGTTTTCTTGACCATCTTGCACTTGAATGGATGACATGCATAATTCTTTCTAAATTACTACTTGGAACTTTTCTTAGTTAATGTAGATCGAGAAAATAGACTGAACAGGCAGTGAGAGGCAAGAGATGTTCCTAACTCCTGCCCCCCTAACCTTTATTTTGAGTAAATTTTCTGGTTTTTGGTTCAGCAATGTTTGTTACCTAAATTTCACACTCCATAGTTCACAGTGGACCCATCTTAGAAATTCTAAATATATAGATTGTCTTTTTTGGACCCTCTTTCTCTATGCACATTGCCCATTCTAATAAAAAAATCCCACCATTTTTCTATTTCGTTTCTTTCATTTTTCTTTTGTTTTGGGGGTAGGTTGTGGTTTTTATGCCACAATTAGAGATCAACAGTAATTCTTGTTGTCCTACATCTGATATTAGGGAGTTATTGCGTGATTTATGAGACAAAGCCGGTTAGTAACTGGATTTAATCACATGAACTAGTAGCTAACTATCCTGCTTTTGATTCAGCTTGCCCCTTGGACTGAGAAGTAGTACCTTAGCAGTCAGTTGTTTCACCAGGACCAATTAAATTACTGATTGAGTTTTGGCTTCTGTTTTAGTCTATATTTTTCCTTATCCACTAAAGAGATCAATAAGTTCTGTGCCAAAGAATTGGTCATCTTTGGGGCATAACTATTACTTATAAATGTTGGAGCTATCTTTACTGAAAGTTCATTCAACTTTTACGGCAGTACAATATCTTCTACTTTTTGTTCGAGACAGCTATATGAAGAGAATTGGAGTGGGCATCATAGTTAAAGAACTTACAATTTGAAAAATAGAAATTCCCTTTACCTTTTATGGATGTTTCCACGATCGAAGTCCAGGTAAAGGGGGTTGAAAATCCTTTTAAAACAATTTCTGACTAGATGACCAAAGAAAATGTCCACCCACGGTTGGAATCTTTAGATATCCTCCTTTGTACTAAAACTATTGTTGAGCATCTGGATACCCTGTCCTCTGCATGGGGTAACATATCTGCTACTTTACACCTTGAACCCGTGAGCAATCATCCTAACAGCAAAAATTTGGATGTTTCTGCAAGCTGTGAAACTTGAAGTTCATGCTGTCTATTTCTCCAGATGACAAAGCTAGAAAAGAGTTTTGACAACGCTTTTAAATCCTAGGCAAAAAAATACAGTGTTCGTTTTTCACATTATATCTGGTCAAGGGTTGATTTCGGAGGATAGAAAGCAAAGCCCTAGATTTTGGAGATGAGTTAAAATACCAAATCCTCCTAAGCTATTAAACGAGATCTACATTTTTGAATGTCAGACTCCCTAATTTTCCTCTTTGTTTTGAGCTCTTAAACTTCCAAGAGTTCATTTTAACAATTTAAGGAAAGAAATACGTTCCACCACATTTCTTGACCCATTCTTGATGGAAATCAAGGTGATTTTTTCCTGCTAGTTTGAGTTCTTTTTTAAGATAGGAAATCTTTAACTTTGTCAGTTTGGTTCCTGCCTGATGTTCTCCATTTTTGAGTGCTAGGATTAGAAAAAATGTGATTTAAGAGTACAATTTGTGGATACTAACTTCTACTGAAATGTTGCAATTTTTGCTGAATTGCTTGGCATGCCTATCATAAATGCCAAGCTAAGGGAAATATCAAGTGATTATGAACTTTTTTCTTTGTTATGGGACAATGTACCTTTTCTTCCTGACTGGTTCTCTTTTACATGCATGTATATGAGTAGAATGAATTCCTGTATAAGAGTAGGTTGACTGGAATGAATCCATTGTCTCATAAATAGTTCCTCTTCAGATCTGGTATCAAGCATTTTTTTTAAAGCTTGTGATTGATCCACGTTTAACTACTTGCTGCTGAGAGTATGAAAATGTAATTTTAATTTAGAGGAAATTTACTTTCATTTGGTAATGTAATGATTCTTAGGAATGCCCTGTTGGCACATACAAAGATGTTGAAGGATCTGATGAAAATCTCTGCAAACCTTGTCCCCTTGAGCGCCTTCCTAGTCGTGCATTTTTTGTCTATGTACGAGGTGATGTAATGCAATGAGCTTTAATTTTCTTAGAATTTTTTCTCAATTATTTGCTCCATCATTGGACATGTTAGATCTAACTTCATTTGGCTATGCCCAAAAAAAAAAATCATTTTGGGTATGATTTGCTACAGGGGGTGTTACCAAATCAGCTTGTCCCTACATATGTATATCTGAAAAGTACAGAATGCCCAACTGCTATACCCCTTTTGAAGAGCTGATACATGCTTTTGGAGGTCCCTGGCCATTCTCACTCTTATCGGCGTGTCTTGTACTCCTTCTAGCTCTAGTATTGAGCACTTTGAGGATCAAATTGATTGGGTCAGGATATTCATATGTCAATGTGAATTCAATTGAGCACCAAAATCATCATCATTCTCCTTATCTTCTTTCTTTATCTGAGGTATGGCCTTCAGTAACTTTTTGGTTCTAGGATGCATTTATGTAGTATTGCAAAATTGGCAATTTTTAATTTACAGTCGTTTGTTTGCTTAACATCTAGGTCCGAGGTACCAGAGCTGAAGAAACTCAGAGCCATGTCCACAGGATGTACTTTATGGGTCCCAATACTTTCAGAGAACCATGGCATCTTCCCTATTCGCCTCCCAATGCAATTGTTGAGATTGTGTAAGTATTCACATGTAATCTAAATTTTTTTGGACAGTAGGCAAAGGTTTAGAAGAAAAAACCTCGTTCATCTTGAAACCTTTAATGTAGGAGTTTAATTTATTAATTCTTTTGACATCTTTGATTACAAGACAATTTTGATTGCTGAACATATTTTTTTCTGTCATTTTAAAAAACTGTTCTTACATTTATGATTATTTAGTATCTTTTGAGTTTTACACCTGAAAGATATTAGTCTCGCATTTTCGATAAAACCTTCTCGTAAAAGTATTTTAACGATATTTTCGGTTTCTTCTTATTCATGAATATTTCACAAAGATACATAAGTCAATCTTTTATCCGTTTCTCTGAGTCAGAAGTTTGACTTCTTCTCTAATGAATTGTACTTGGTTGAGACTCACATAGCTTCAAGCTTCAACTATCTGGTCCAATACAGCGACAATGTGAGAGATTTTTTAAACAAAATTGTATGTAGCAAAATTTCCAAGGTTATATGTGCTAATGGTGATTAACGGCAGGTATGAAGATGCTTTCAATAGATTTATTGATGAGATCAACTTGGTTGCTGCATATGAATGGTGGGAAGGGTCAGTGCATAGTATATTATCAGTTCTTGCGTATCCTTGTGCCTGGTCCTGGAAACAATGGCGTCGGAGAAATAAAGTCCACCGTCTTCAGGAGTACGTTAAATCTGAGTATGATCATTCTTGTCTACGATCCTGCAGATCACGAGCATTATACAAAGGAATGAAGGTTTGACTTTGTTTTCTTTACTAATATAGTGTGACTTTTTTATGTATGAATATCAGAATAGTCTATTTCAGATCTCATTTTTTGTAGTTGAAAATAAGTTGAAGCATAGGAAGCCTGTCTAAATCACTAACTTCCCAAGTCTTTGTTAGACTAAATTATACTGTGAAGGGTCAAAAAACAAATGGAGTAACATATTTTTACCAAGACTGATGTTCTGGGCTGCTATTATGCAGGTTGGAGCAACGCCAGACCTGATGATTGCTTATATAGATTTCTTCCTTGGTGGAGATGAGAAGCGTATGGATATTGTAACGAGTATGCAGAAGAGATTTCCTATGTCTATTATCTTTGGTGGGAATGGGAGCTATATGTCACCCTATAATCTCCACAGTGACACACTATTGACAAACCTCCTTGCTCAGGTCTTTACAGAATGGCATTTGTTAGTATATGAAAAAAACTTTCATTTGCAATGCTTGTCTTAACATGTAAATCATTGTGTATTTTTTTAGCATGTTCCTACAACTGTCTGGAACCGTTTGGTTGCGGGGTTGAATGCCCAGCTGAGAACAGTAAGGCAGGGATCAATCCGTTCTACTCTGGTCCCTGTTATTAGTTGGATCAGAAGTCATGCAAATCCCCAGCTTGACTTTCATGGTGTTAAAATTGAGTTAGGATGGTTCCAAGCCACTGCTAGTGGGTACTATCAGTTGGGTATTTGGGTCATAGTTGGTGATTATTCTCTCCATGATGTCCACCAGTCTGATATTTTGGACAGTGGTGATGAGTGCTCAAGGTAATCTTCATATCTTCACCTAAGAGACAAAAGTGTATGCTTCTCTCTCTCTCTCTCTCTCTCACACACACACACACATGCACAGACAGACATAGGGAGAGGCACTTAAAAGTTTCTTGAGTTCTACCTCCTCTTAAGTTGAATGGTGATGCATTCTGTTTTCCTGGTATTGATACTTTTAAGCTTTCGAGCTATTTCTGTTGACTCTAAGTTAGAAAAGTTGGATGGTGATGAATGGCAGTCTGGTGATTGGGATGTACTAACCCGCTACATGAGTAGGATCCTATAAAATCTTTTCGGACTTGATGAGGAAAACTTTTTCATCCATTCTAATAAACAAACATAAATGTGTAAACTTCGCCACAGAAGATGCCAGCTTTTAAAGATCTGTTTATTGATATTCATATTTTTGAGCTCTTTGGGAACATTATCTTTTTCTTTAGTTTATCAATTGTTAAAGGTGAAAGTGATGAATTACTTAACCGCATTTCCTATGTCGGATGACTAGCAAACTAATATATCAGGAAATTGAGGACTGCTGTACTTGCTCATGATAATCTTAACATTTCATCGCAAGGATCGTGATAACACTTGTCCTTTTATTGGTTAACTAAGTTATTTCAGACTTCATGCTCTTATTCTTCAATTTGTCTTTTTCTTGGACCAGAAAATTCGCCACCATAGATAAATGCCAGCGGAAAGCACAGCATGGCCATCTGAGTACAAGTCATTCATTATTGCGCAAAAGGACTACTGCTGGAAAGAATGGTGGTCTTATAAATGACATTACCTTGAAATCACTGGATTTCAAAAGGGACTATCTTTTCCCTTTTTCTCTTCTGTTGCATAACACCAGGCCTGTTGGCAGAGAGGTACTCGCAAGCTTGATTCTTGCTGGTTGAATTTTTATCTGGCATCTAAAAATTGGGTTTTTGTTCTGTTTCAGGACACGATTCAGCTGCTGATCTCTATCATGGTCTTGGCAGACCTTTTCGTTACCCTTCTTATATTGCTTCTGTTCTACTGGATGTCACTTGGGGCTTTTCTTTCTGTACTGCTTATCCTACCCCTATCATTGCTTTCTACTTTTCCAGCTGGTCTGAATGCCTTATTCAGTAAAGGTGCCAGGAGAGCTTCACTTGCTCGTGTCTACGCATTGTGGAATGCATCCTCATTGTCAAATATTGTAAGTGATGTTTGAGGTGCAGCATGTCTAGTTCAACTACTTATGCTGTTGTAAATGATGGTCTGCTTTAAGGTTTCTGGATTGCTTACATAAGTGGTGTATGGTCATTTGGGAACCTTAGATATTTACCTTTTTTTGAATCCAAATGACATAATCTGCAGGACCCCACAAACTAGTCTTGTCCAAAGAACTTCAGAAAAGTGCTTGGTTATAAGTTCAGTTCGATCCCACATATTATTTGTTTTTTACCAGCCTAAATGGTGAAGCATGAGGGCCACCTTTTTCACCTATTGTGTACGATATCATCATTTTAAGACGTCTGGATCTTGATATAAACAATTGGAGAAATTGATGGGGGATTTCTTTGTTGAGTGTACTTGAACCAGGTTGTAAACAAACAATTACGAGGGATTAAACTGCTTGTATATGACTTGAGGCTTAAGAATCCTTGTGAGACAATTAAAAAGGCACAAGATATATGTTGTGTTGGTTTTCTTTTTTTTTTTTTTTCATATTATATAGTTTGATCTGATCATTATATCGTTGTATGCAGGCTGTTGCATTTATCTGTAGCATAATTCATTATGCAGTTTCGTATTTGAAGCCCCATCCAGATACTAATGCATGGAATTCCAGACGGTAAGGCGATTGAGTTCTTGAAAAACTTGGTTGATTTACCCGTGTTTGTATTCAAGAAGGATAAGAGAACTTTAAAGAAAGACTTTGGCATTTCTTTCAAGTGCAGCCTTGCAATAGCAAGTTGCAAGTAATAGACAATAAAGGAACCATATAGCTGTAGAAAGTTGATATGCTAAGAAAATAAAATATGGGGAGAATGGAAACGCATGATACTGAACAAATTAAAGGCTTATGTTTCATGAGTTAGTGGGATTCTGTAATTGCGCAGTTTTTTTCTCTTCTTTTGTTCTTTATTTCCACCATTGTTAGCTCTACTACGCTAGAACAAGCAGTTTCCTGCTGACTAAGAGCTAGAGGTTAAACAAAAGGCTTATCCCTCGTCTTTGCTGAGGGTGCCAAAAGATGGACTGATAAATCCCTCGCTAGTGACAATTGTGCTTAAAGACTTTTAATTTGGAGACTTCCGAGAATTGTCTTTACTCTTGTAACTCATTTTTGAAGGGTCTAATGAACTTTTGAATCTCATTATGTCAGGGGGGATGACGAATGGTGGCTTTTGCCTACAATCTTGCTGATATTCAAGGTTGTTCAGGCTCGATTTGTAGATTGGCACATAGCAAACCGAGAAATCCAAGATTTTTCTCTCTTCAGTCCTGACCCGGATACTTTTTGGGCATATGAATCGGTGTCTTGATGCATTGTAGGAGGGCTTTTTGATGAGGAAAAAGTGTGGCTGTTCGTTTGCAGTCTTTCTCATGATTAGTCGTGTATATATATGTTTAGGTTTGTGTAAAGCTCTAGTATAGCTGTGCAGGTTTTGTTTACTTGTAAGTATAATAGTTTTGGAAGAGCATTTAGATGTCGAGAGAGAGACAGAGTTCAACATTGAGGGAGGTAATCGAATATAGATTGGATGCACATATAATATATATATGTTGGTATGGTATTCTTTATCAACTGATCATGCATACATGTTCATATGATTATGAAATAGTGCAACAAATTTTTCAGTGTAGTTACTGATTTTGTTTGAAGTAGACTATTGCTGTGAGGGGGTACGTGTGCAGTTTTTCAAGGGGACACTTGAATGATGCACTTATCGCCTTCTCTAAATTCAGCTGCTTTTGAATCTTATTCATTATCGGACCTGCTCAATCAAGTACATAAATTTTTTATGTTGTCCTAACTCAAAATAAATTTCGTCTGCATGCAATTCCGTTTGGATTGCATTATTTCAGGTGATTTTTTTTTTTTTAATATATTCGATTAAATAGGTGCTGTGAATCTTCTATAGTAATTATGGGTGGTCATGGGATTGTTCGAAACTCACGAGTTTGTGGCATTGATGAATTTCAGAGGGGGGAAGGAATGATTGCCATAAGGTTAATTTCAACAAGAGCAAATTGAATATTGATTTGAGTTTTGGCTTTTTAGGTGTAGGAATCTCCTTATTATTCATTAAAGAGACTAAACACATGCTCTCTAAAAAATAATTGGTCATCTTTGAGGCATAAATATCACTTCGGAATCTTGATGCCTTCTCTTACCGAAAGTTCATTCGACATTTTCAAGTTTCAAGATAGCTTAAGCAGAGAAGTGGAATGTTTGAACTTAAAACACAGGAATTCTGTTTCCCTTTATTTACTCTTCAATGATATGAAATCAATGTCCAGCCCACCACGTTTTTAAGTTTAGAGATCGATTGCTTTTGAACGATGGTGCGGTACCCCTTTATTTTGAACTGCTCAAAATCACGTTGCTGTCTGTCTCCTTTCTATTCAATTTCCAGCATCTCTCATGCTTTAGTTTCTTGTAATTGATTACCTTTTTCTTTTTCTTTTTGACTGACTTTAATGTCTCCACTCCTTTTTTTTTTTTTTTTTCTTCTTCGTTGGCACCACTCCAGGAAGGAGACAGAGACAACAGCAGTAAACAAAACACTGTTTATTGGATTCCTCAAACACACGCAATACTCTTTATGTCTCAAATCCACCACCCTCCTATCTATCTCTATCGTCTTCGGAAAGAAAGCTCTCCTTACCCTTCTGTCATATGGCCAATATGTCAGAAGAAGCTTCCAAGTTTAATATTTGGTTTGTAAGGGGCATTTGAAGTAGCAACTCATGCTGGGAAAATTGAAAATTCCAACTCTTTTTTTAAACTTTTATGACTCCAGAATCCAGATGCCAATTATCTCAAAATAAATGCTTGTTTATAACACTTTTCTTCCAAGGTTTATTAAGAAAACAAAAAAAAAAGGAAAGGAAAAAGTTGAAGGCTTGATATCTGAGACTACATCTTCACGAATCTTTGGATAAAATTCTTCTAATGGGGGAAGCAATCACATAATTAACACAACGAAATAGCTTTAAATCTAAAAAATTGTCTAAATGGTGTGTTTAAACATCCAAAAACTGTCTAAACACTTGCATTGATGTTGAGTAACTTTTTGACCAACACAAATACACTAATTAGTAGTGAAAGGTTGAAACTCTTGATCATTTTTAATTTCAACTCTATAAAAGTCTAGTAAGGATGGTTTGCTATAGAAGATCATTTTTCTGCTAGTAGAATTCTTTGCAAAAACACACCATAGTTCAAGTAGATTTATCTAATTTTGGGCAAGAGTTGAGACAAATACCTTTCAAATTATCCTAAAGGATATTTGTCCGAAATCTTTGTATGCAAAATTATGAACAAATAAAGTCTAAAGAAAAGTAATAATATATACACTGTCAGTGTATATAAGATTTACTCATACTCTTTTGCAAATTCCTCTTTTTTTGAGTACAACATCATTTGACCTAAAAACAAAAAGAAAAAATGAACAAATAAAGTGCAACATCATTTACCCGAATAATAAGCATTGAAATTATCTATACATCTACTATTCAGTTAAAAGAAACAAGGTAGGGGAATACTTAAAGCTTACGTTAAAGTAACTATACTATTATCGAGTCCATAATTCATTAATAGGTGCACAAGCACTGGGGTTCTGAAATTTGAAGATAATATTTACTACTAACTCTTTGGATGCCTTTCTGCTTCTTGCCTACTCAGTATAATTTTGTATTCTTAACTAGTTTCAGCTAGATTTCACAAAAGAATTCATCAGTAACCTGAATTGAGCTTAAGTCTTGAGTTGCTTTTTCTGTTCCACTCAGAAGAAATTAATAACTTTCCTCTGCATCACGTATTCCTGGAAAAAAAAAAAGAGGAGCAGAAATTAGTTCCACAGAAGGAGGAGGTTATATATGTCAGCATAAGGTGCAAAAGACTTTGTAGTAGTAGTTTTATTTCTTCGTCAACGAAATCAACAATGTCCATTCCAGCCGCGTTTAAACTTTATTCCGTCCCTTGCTAGATAATTCGGCATCATTGCTTTTGCACGACGCTGCGGTAGTCACTCCTTTATCTTTATCCGACCAATGGACCCATAGTTGAAAGAAGGTCCTAAAGGCTGATCACCCCACCATTTGCACAGTCTTCTTAATAGCTTCCATGATTTTGTATTCTAATTTCTAAGCAGCTTCGTCTTTCAAACTCGCGTTGCTGCCTATCTTCCTGTCTTCAATTTCCATCATGTTTCTTGCTTTAGTTTTTCTAATTGGTTAATTCTTTCTTTTTCTTTTTGACACGGTTTTTCTTTTTGATAAATACTGCACCATATAGCATCAAAGTTCATCAGCTTATGAATCCATAACCTACTCTTCCTTGTTCCTTTCAAGATACAACAAGTGGACTATCCTATAAACCAGAAGCCGCCTTCCCCGCATCTGAAGTTAAAGAGAAAGACTGAAAATGGCAGAAGAAGTTCTCTCTTTTGTGCTGGATCAACTCTCAACTTTTCTGCGCGAGGAGGGACGACTATTGGGAGGGCTTTGGCAAGAGGTCCAATTCATCAGGGATGAGTTGGGGCACATGAGAGCTTTCCTGAGAGAGGCAGAAGCAAAAGAAGAAGACGCTCAACCCAGGCTCCAAGAATGGATCAAGCAAGTGCGAGAAGCTGCTTATGACACTGAAGACATTCTTGATGAATTTGTAGCTCGCTTTGCTCGGCATCGCGCAACAGGATTCTACGGCTCTGTTCGGAGAATTTTCAGCTCCATCAAGAATTTGAGAGCTCGTCATCGAGTTGCTAGTGAAATACAAATCATCAAGTCAAGAATCAAAAGTATTTCCGAAGCTCATCAAAGATACCAATCTGAGAGCTCGTCCAACTCACTTCCTCCTGTGAACAACACAACATGGCGCTATAGCAGAGATGATGCGCTGCTTGTGGAAGAAGCTAAATTAGTTGGCATTGACCAACCCAAGAACCATCTAATTTCTGAGCTCCTCGAAGGGGATGATCACCAACTGAAAGTTGTTTCAGTTGTCGGTATGGGAGGACTTGGCAAAACTACCCTTGTGAAAAAAGTCCATGAGGATCCTGAAGTCAGAAGGCGTTTCCCAGTCCGTGCTTGGGTAACTGTCTCTGAAACATGTGACTTTCAGTTCCTCCTGAAAGACTTGATTCGGCAGTTACACAAGGAAGGGAACAAAGCAGTCACACAATCGATCGAGTCTTCGAATACCACCGAGCTGAAAGAAATTATCAAAGATTTTCTTCAACAAGCTGGAAGGTATGCAATTGTTTTTGACGATGTATGGGACGTGGAATTTTGGAATACCATCAAATTTGCACTGCCTGAGAGCTGCTGTGGCAACCGTGTCATGCTAACAACTCGAAAAGCTGATGTAGCCTCTGCCTCTTGCAGTGAATCTGGGGGTCTTGTCTACAGAATGGAGCCACTGTCTATTGAGGATTCGTGGACCCTGTTTTGCAACAAGATCTTTAATGGAGGTACTTGCCCTGGCCATTTGATGGATGTTGCCAAAGGTATATTGGAAAAATGTGAGGGCTTGCCCCTTGCAATCATTGCAATCAGTGGGCTTTTGGCTTCGAAAGATGTAAATAGGATGGACGAATGGGAGATGGTTCGACGCAGTCTTGGGGGTGAATTAGAAGGCACGGGTAAGTTGGACAGAGTTAAAAAGATACTCTCTCTCAGTTATAGCGACCTGCCTTGGCATCTCAAGATATGTCTGCTGTACACAAGCATCTATCCAGAGGATTATGAAATAGAATGCTCTGACCTAATTAATTTGTGGATTGCTGAAAGGTTTGTAGAATGGAGAGAAGGAATGAGTATTGAAGATGTAGCCTGGGGTTGGCTTAGTGAACTCGTCAATCGAAGCCTAATTCAAGTGACTAAGGTGTATTATGAAGGATTACCCGACTATTGTCGAATCCATGACCTGTTGAGAGAAGTTATTGTTCTCAAGTCAAGGGAACAAAACATGGTCACAATTACTACTGGACAACCAATGATGCGGCCGTCCGAGAAGGTACGCCGTCTGGTAGTCCATACTAGTAGTAGTAACAACACCCAGGACCACCAACAAAGAAGAAGTTATTGCTTTGACCACCTTCAGTCGTTCGTTACATTTGGATCCATGAGCCCACTACTATTCAAACTGTTGTTATCTGATGTTTTAAGGAGTAGTAAGCTGTTAAAGGTTTTGCATTTGGGTGGTCAAGAGACCCAAGAGGATATACCAAATGAGGTTTTCAAGATGTTTCATCTCAAGTATCTGTACCTAGGGGGTACGAGAGTGGAGAGAGTTCCAAAAGCCATTGGAAAGCTTCAACATTTGGAATTTCTGGATTTGAGTAACACCAGAGTTAGGGAATTACCCATGGAAATCCTAAAGTTGCAAAAACTTCGGGTTCTCAAAGTATATCAACGAGTTGATTCTTTCGATGATGATTATGGATTTCATGGATTTAAAGCTCCCTCGAATATGGGAGGGCTTCTTGCCCTAGAAGTATTAGACTGCATAGATGCTAGTAGTGGATCTACAGTAGTCAAGGAGATAGGAAAGCTGACCCAATTAAGAGAATTAGGTATTACAAAGTTAAGAAGAGAAGATGGAAAGGAGCTCTGCTCCTCCCTTGCCAAGCTCACCAGTCTTCATAGATTAAGCATTGAATCAATTGGAGAAGGTAACGATGATCATGAGATAATCGATCTAAATCACCATCCTTCTTCTTCTTCTTCTTCTTCTTTTCTTCAATCTCTTCATCTGCTGATTTTGTGTGGCCGCTTAGAAAAGATGCCACAATGGGTAGCTCATCTTCACGGCTTGGTAAGAATAGATTTGAATTGGAGCAGGTTAAGGGGTGATGAGGATCCGCTTGAATCCCTCCGACATTTGCCCAATTTGGGTAAAATTAATTTCTGTGGATCTTACCAGGGAGAAGGGTTGTGTTTCCAGGCTGGAGGGTTCCTCAATCTGAAGAAGTTGCACCTAAAGAGAATGGAAGGGTTGAGATGGATGAGAGTGGAGGAGGGTGCATTGCCTCGTCTCCATCAACTCATTTTGGATCAACTTCCATTACTAGAGGAGCTACCTTTGGGTATTCAGCACTTGAGCCATCTTCAAGGGCTGTATTTGTATGAGATGAGTTCTGAAATGATAGAAAAGGTAGAGAATCAGAAGGAAGAAAGTGAAGATTACACAAGAATCGCACACATTCCTGAAATTGTCATTGGTTGCTATACAGAAGATGGGGAATGGAGACAGCGCCAGCTATGGGGGAAGAAGAAGAAGAAAACATAAATCATTCCCCTTTCTCTGGTTTGCACCCTCTCTGCTGTGGACAACACTGCTCTTGTTTTTTATTTTTTATTAGTAAATTTTTTCCCCTTCGACATCTTCTGTGTCTTACCTCCTTATTTATTGTATGTATTGTGTATAATGCTTGATGTTGTTAATGTACTGTATAGTATTACTCTTTATCTTTTTGTGTCTTAATCTTTATTTAAATTTTGGTCAGAGATAATATGTAAACCTATATTAATATGGTTTGTCTGGTAAATGTAGCATATGTTGATCATTTCCAAGTCTGCTCTTTCCTTCCCAAATTTGCCAGTGTTTCAATTAGCATTGCATATGTGATCATTCATCATTGACTATTATAATTACTTTGTGCTAATAAACTTACAATGTTTATCACTACTATTTCTTAAAATATTTTTACACTCAAAATCTACATTTCGTTCTCTATTAGGAATTATCACAAAACACAAAATTTGAATTCGATTCAATTCACTCTAAAATTTTTTTTCCCTAAACTAGACAAATCGGGGTGCACAATCAATAATCTTCTAGTCGTATAGAAGGACACGTCACTTTTTCATTCTTTTTTTTTGCAAGTATTATTAGAAAATCAAAAGATATGGTTTATGTTGTCAATTAGGAACAAAAGTGTAGATGATCTACGTATGTGTATGTTGGCAATCAAGAGCAACAACGGACCCATTTGCTCTAGCAATGTAAGGGCTAGTTAATATTAAGTTGGGTAAATTGCATGTTATCCCCTATGATTAGGTACTTTACCACATAATCTCTCTATAGTTTAAAAAATATATATAATTTGCTCATAGTTTGAATTAAAGTGCCATCTTTAATTTTTTTCATTAAAACTAACGATCAATAGTAAAAGGTCAAATCAAACTAATAAATTGACAAATTTATCTTTTCATTACTTGAAGAAATTTAAATAAAAAATAGATAAATAAGAAATAGAAAATGCCATTAAAATTTTGGTTTAAAAACCTATAATGATATTTGTAGTCAAAAAAGATTTGGTATTTTTTGTTTCTCATTTACTTTTTTTATATTTCCCTTCCATCCTTTTTGTTTCTTATTTATTTATTTTTATTTTTTATTTTCCTTCCATATTTTTTTTATTTGGAGAAAATTAAGGCTTTGTTTGGATAGAGTATTATGCCAAATAGTTACTTGAAATGATTACTGTAGTGCTTTTTGTGATGTAATGTATGTGAGATAAAAAAGTGGATTGAAAAATGTGTTTATGATGTAAACGAAATATTTTTTTTGAAAAATTTTGCTATCCAAAGCATAGGTTTTCAAAATCACCTCTTCTCTTCCCAGGGAGAGAGAAAGAGAGAGAGAATAGTGAAAGCGTAAATTTATCAAATTATTAGTTTGATTTTGACTTTTTACTATTAACCGTTAGTTTTAACGGAAAAACTAACAGTGACACGTTAACCCAAATTATGATCGGGTTTCATATATGTTTTTAAACTATGGAGAGAGTTATGTGGTAAAGCACAAAATCACAAAAGCACGGAACTATAGAGAATTCAAGACCTAATACATAACAATCTCAGCTAGATAGATGCTCACATCAATCTCCTTGTTCTTTGATATTGAGCTTGCCGTAGAACCATCAGCAATTCCAAACTGTACTATTTGATCTTCAGACATGGAAAGGCCCTCGTATATCAAACTAGAAATGCAAAATCGACCGGGGTTTGCCTCAGCACTGGACAGAGTTATTACCAAAAATTACCTCAAAGAGAAAACATACAATAAGTAATGTTACTGTCCCCAGCCCACTCCTTGCACAACTTAGCTCATTTTTCCAAGGCGTGCTTCTCCTTGTCCTCTCACTATTCCCACAGCTCATAACAGCCCGCGACAGCTGAGTAAGAAGGCTCAGCATTCGCGGCATTACAGCATTGCATGTTGTTCCATATGAGATGATGGGCTATAAATAACTTCTGCTTTACTTTTTTTTTTGTGTGGGAAAAAGACAAATAACTTCTGCTAGTAGTAAAGTTGAACTCGTATTCTTTTGCAGTGTAATTAATTGAAAAATCAAACGATGAGAATTATGCAGGCAACCAAGAACCAATGCTGATGATTAGATTTAGCAACATGTGGGCAATCATGAACGATTGGCTTTGCAATTGGTTTGATTAACGTATATCGCTAGCCAAAAAAAATAATAATAATATGAAGAGAGGATCTCTAATTAACTTTCTTTTTTGAAATTTAGGAGGCTAGTTTCTAATAGATAGATCAGATTTGAACCCTCATATTCCTTCTCAAATTTCTCTCTATTGATTACAACATCATTTGACCCCCAAAAAAGGGTTCAATATCATGTAGTCCCAAAAAGCATTAAAATAATATATATAACTACAATTCATGTAAAAAAAAGGATAAATTACATATAATCCCCCTATAATTTTCTTCAATGCCACGTAACACGTCTAAAGTTTCACAATAGTAATATAACCTTTATGTGGTTTTATGCAAAATAGAAAATGAAAGAATGCATCATCAATTAGATGATTGAACCAAACACATTCTAGATGACGTATGTGATGGAATCATAAAATCCACTTAATCCTCTATGATTTATATAAGGGTTAAAAACAAAAAAGCCTTCTGCGGTAAGTCTAATACACAGAAAAGTCCCCCATGGTTTCAAAATATACAACACGCCCCTTCATGCTTTAAACTAAATTGTAAAGGTGACGGAATCTGTTAAACTTAACGGAAATGGTCAAAATGACCAAAATATTCTCATATAATTAAGCAAAAGACAGCTCAAAAAAATTATTTATTTTATTTTCTAAATAGAGAAATTGAGGGTTAAGGGGTAGAATAGGTATATTTGATAAAAATTAGGTATAAAATTTTTTTTTTAGGTTCCAATAAGTCATTTCCGTTAAGTTTAACGGATTCCGTCACATTTACAATTTAGTTCAAAGCATGAGGGGCCGTATTGTATATTTTGAAACCATTGGGGGGGTTTTCTGTGTATTAGGCTTACCACAGGGGGCTTTTTTATTTTTAACCCTTTATATAAATACCCACCTTACCTTATGCATTTATCCACACAATTCCCCTACGGTTTTATCCAAGATGGTTAGGCATTTATTCGCTTTAGTATTAGAGTAAGGAAATTATTAATATTTGAACTAACGACGTTGCAGAGATTATTTTTCGTAAAGTTATATTGAACCTAAGCGAGTGAAATATATATTTTACTATGTTATAGGGTTATACGACAATGAGTGAAACCATAGGAAGTTATGTTTAATTTACCCTAAATTAAGGGTAGGGGTACTTAAAGCTTAGGCTAAAGTAACTACATTATCATGGAATTCAAGGTTTACAAATAGTGTAAAAATGGCTTCTTGGCGTTGGTAGGTGAAAACAAACTGTGCTTACAGATTTCTCGGTAGCTTCCTAAAAGTTTCATTCATAATTTTCTATTCTTAACTTCGTCCATGACTTAGTCCAACCATAGTAGCACTACCAACATTAATGTCTAATGTCTTCTTAAATCAATCCCCGACTGCCGAGTTACAGAAATTGAAATCTCACTTTCCCCAGTCCATTCTTCAATTGACGAGAAAGGAGAAAAAAAAAATCTAAAACCAACTTTAACCCACAACATGCTCAAAACTCAGCTGCAACCCTACTCTCCTGTAACTTTGATAGAATATTCATTTTGAGTTGGGTTTTTCTTTATCTATGGCAGTAGATTCTCGTTCTCTTGTGATCTTTCCTCATTTCTACTTAAACACACATGTATATTTATGCCGAAATTTGGTCAGATATTTTCTATTATGTACCATAAGAGCACAAAAAGAGAGATGAGCCCACCATAAAATTGCAACACAGTCACTTACTCCCTTAATTGAGAGTATTTTGTCGTATGGGTGCAAAACAAGTCGTGCCCAATCAAATTACTCACCAGCATGTTTTGTCAAAACTTAGGTTAACCAAGTTCAATATTTAATTAGTTCGAGTATCTCAAATTGCTTGAAGAGTTCAAGTTCGAGTCTACTATATGAAACTTGAAAATTCGTCAAGTTCAGTTGAACTCAATCGAGATTTAAATGTAATATATCCTTTTGAAAATTTTTAATATTTATTAGTGTGAAATGTCAATTGTATCCTGATTTAAAATTATATAAAATATTAATTTATATTACCTATGCTTCATTGAGTTTGATTAGACTCGACTGATTAATGTCCACATAGTTAAAGCGAGTCCATCTCTTATTCTTTGGCACAGCGCAAAAGAATCCTATATTAAGGCCCTATTTGGTAACCCGCTTCAACACGTAAATTTAATGAATTCAGATCTTAACATATTCAAACTGTCTGATAATTAAAAATTGAACATCTGAATTAATTAAGTGGCACTAAATTTTCTAAGTAAAACTTAGTCCTAAAATTAAGTGATAAGTTATTCACTTATCATTGAGGTTGCGTTTGATAAAACTGAAGTCTGAAAACTGAAATCTGAATTTATTGAATTATTAAATATTAAATCTAATACATTTGAGTGCATATCATATTCAGTGATAAATAAATAGCTTATCACTTAATCTTGGGAACAAGTTTTGTTTAAATAATTTAGTTCAATTTTTTGTTATCAAACGGTTTGAATATATTAAAATCTGAATTGATTAAGTTTGATGTTGAGAGCTAAATCCTAAAAGGAATAAAAAGGAGAGTTAGCTTATGAACAGTAGTTATGGTCCCCTATGGACACCTTGTCTAGGTGGCTAAATATGGAATATCAGATGAACATTTGATTTGTTGGAGTTAGGACTGAGTTGGGATGTGCGGCTGGCACGTGATGTGGCAATGTGATTTTACTAGCTAACCCTTATCTCACAATTTTACCCTTTAATTAGTTATTGATGTGAGCTTGTAGGCTTGGTTATTGGGTCTTTTCATAATGATACAGTTGGACGGTAGATTGAGATCCATCAGTGCGATTGGTTTCTCCATCTTCTGTTCCAACCCATCGTAAATTAGTCCAAGAACTTCTCCATCTTCTATGAAATCTAAAACCGACCGAATTATGCAGAAAATTTAGAGGCAATTCAGTTAATAAAAGTAATTGAGATTATAAATTTTTCAAATTGTGGGTATCTAATATTGCAACAAGCTTATTTCAAATGTGCACATGAGTGCTTTGACAGAAGAATAAAGCGTCAGGGGATAAGGAAGCATGAAATTTCCGTGTTCTTCAAGCTCAGAATCGTATTGAATGTGAGATGGCCAAGTTTGTTTTCTTTCACCTCCAGTAAAACTTTTTTTTTTCTTTCTAATTGATTCGTTTATGTTTATCCTTTTGTTATGGCATTTAAATTATACCAAGTTTCAGGCTTTGCCAGTTGTTCTTATGCTCTTAAATGCTCATTGGATTCTTCTGGCATTCTTTGCATGCATATTTTTGATTTATTGTTGGGTCCAATTACTGCTCTAATACTGATAGTAGGGAAGATAGGGCCATTGGGGTGATTTTGGGGGCAATTCCCCAATGCGTATTGTTTTCAGCACACACTATTTTCAAGTACCTATTATTTTGGATTTTTTGATTAGTTTTTATTACAAATTTGTTGATCGTTTATATGCTCTAAATTTGATCCTGGAAGATCATTCTTATGTCAGGTTCTTAATTATTTTCGGTCAAATTTTTATCCACCCTTGGAAGCTGCTTTCTTCTTCACTTTGCCTGCCTTATTTGGTTGGTTGGGCTCAAGTATTTCTTGTCCTTAGAGTCAAATATGTTTTTAATTTTTTTGCTGAATTTCTGCTTTTGAGGCCTTCAGACATGACGATGAGTCCAAGAAGTTCTTCCATTGCATTTTGGTAAACTTGAAATTTTGTCTCTGTTTCAGCATTTCATTTCATTTGCATTCTGCAATTTATTTGCTGTTTCTCTTTCTCCCACATTTAGTGCTTTCTTATTAGTCGAAATTTAGGATAAACCATCAAAAGAAGCTGGATAGTAGTTTGAAAATTTGCAGGTATATACTATCATTCTTAACCAGTTTTCCTTAAAAAGGATTGCATCATTCCCCATCTTCCAAGGGACTGAACCTCTTAGGTAATAGTCATTTTGTATGACTTAGTTCAAGTCAAAGGACGAATTTTCTTTATACTCTATGTTCCTGTTGTTTGATGATATAGAGGGAGCTCTTTGATTTGTATCCACTTACTACATGCTAAATGTTTTAAAAGGCTTGATTGGAAAGCTATTACTTGGGTGGTCTCACCCCCTACCCCAAGGTCTCTTGTCACCGTTGAAGCTCAAACGAATGTAGTTTCAAGAATGCTTAATACGATATGTGAAGATAATGATCACTATGATATTTATGGATTAGATAATGAAGTGACTGGAAATACATTTGCTCCAAATATGTGAAGCATGTTCAAAATGTCATTTATCAATTACTCGAATTTTGTAATTATAATTCTCTGAAGTGACTTTTTGTGATTAAAATTTGTTGAAGTTCGTGTTTTGCTCCTTTATGACCCCAATTTGCTGCCATCTATGCTACAAGCTCGTACAGGTGCCAGCATATATTAATACTGATTTTACCTGTGCACCAACTGCAATCGTTTTTAGCATGTCATCTTCAAGATCAGTCGGTGTGGCAATACATGAAGTGATAATGGTGCATTTATGCTTTTAATGCACTAAAAGAAATGCTGGAGTTTGAAATCTGATGTTTATATGTTGACGGCATGAACAAATGCTGGAGTTTTGGGTAGTTTCTTGAGACAAGATACCATATCTGTTTGGTCAAAGAATTTGATGAGAATGCCTGGAGAATTATTACAGTTTTTGACCATGTATACTTGCATAGATTATACTCTTTCCGGGCACCGTCACGCAACGTGTGAGGCCCAAATAAACTAGTAATCTACAAAACTGAAAGTCGCACAAACAGTTCTCTCCGTTCCTGTTGGATTATTAGCTCATAACAATGATCCACAGAGTGAACACCCCACGGAAACGGGGCAGGAGCGCTCCTGAGCTATTAATGGCCATGATTTGGCCTCAATAAATTGTGCTGTCCAGATCACAAATTGTGCATCGATTTTCACATCGTGTGTGGGACCCACAAAATTTTGTACTAAAGTTACACGTTGTACAAATAAAGTTACGCCGTGTGCAACCAAAGTTATGAGCTGTTGAAAATGGCCAAAACCGTCCGATGGGGATGGTCCGTGCCCCTTGTCCACACCCCACCAAGTGCATAGTCCTCTTAATAATTCCCATGATTTTGTTGTGTAGCAGTAAGGTAGCTTCGTCGCTCTCTCTCTCAAAATCACGTTGCTGTCTATCTTCTTTCTATTCAATTTCCATCACATCTCTTGCTTTAGTTTCTCTTTTTCTTTCTGACTACAATGGCTCCACTCCATTTATTTGCTGCAGCTTCTTTTTTTGTGAGTAAGAAATTTTCTCGTATTTCGTTCTTAAATTTCTTACGGCTTTGAAAAATTCTTCGGTTTTAAGTCACAATATAAAATTGGGAAACATTGACAGAGCTATATAATATCGATAATGTGTTTCTATCTATCTCCTTTCTTATGTTGTTTCTAGGAACCATATGGTCATCGGAAAAACTTAGTGTCTCTGTTTCTTCTTTTGTTTTGAAATTAATTTTCCAAAATACAATATTCAAGTAGGTCAAATAATGCACATTGTGACGACCCCACTTCCCCCTAAGACGAACCAGAGGGTTGGCAGGCCGTCTGCCTAACTCTCGCCAGGACTCACGCAGGCACACTAACCCAAATCCTTCCGGAGATCAACCTAAACTATTACAATAGAGATTCTTCCAAAAAAAAAATCGGTTTCTAACACCACATTAACTTCAAAGATAACAGCATCCGAAGTTAGCCAATCGACGGCTCTTAAACACTTCACGCGTTACTTACAAGGGTTAAAGCCATACCACACAAATACATACATTCAAGCCACATATCAGAATTAGGGTTTACACTTTTCCAGCTTCAAGTGGCAATCCAAAATGAAAGATAAAATGCTTAACTTGGAATTCATTACAAACCGAAATTCAAATTCAAGTTGTTCAATTACATTCATAGGAAATATAAGCAGCTCAAATTCTTTCAAACTTCACAACCTGTAAGGAAAACAAATGAACGTGGGGTGAGCTAAAACTCAGTGGTGCCCCAAAATCATGCAATCACTTGAAACAATTAACACGTATTGATTCGACTGAAGTAAATAAATAGGGAAGCGATAATATTCGAGTATACCTTAGACTGGTCGAGAGATTCACCCAACGACATTACGTCCAACACTTATATTTATAGACTGGTCGAGGGATTTACCCAACGACTTTACGTCCAACACTTGATTGTTATAGACTGGTCGAGGGATTCACCCAACGACTTTACGTCCAACACTTGATTATTATAGACTGATCGAGGGATTCACCCAACAACTTTACGTCCAACACTTGATTATTATAGACTGATCGAGGGATTCACTCAACGACTTTACGTCCAACACTTGATTACCAGGACAGGATAAGAGGCCCTCCCACCTTTATGGTGTGGTACATTCTCCTGCCTAGTAATTTAGCACTTAGCAAACACAAGCAAGATATTCACGAAAAACACTTCAAGCAAGTCACCACTCGAAAGGCTAGTGCGATAAAGTACACACTGCTCACTTCGATGGATCAACAACCATTTTTGGCAATTATCACATAACGAGTCGATAAAGCACTTTAACCAAATAGCCATAAATCAGGCAGGGACACTCACCAAAAGTGAAGCTCAAAAGTCAAGTTGGGAATCGAAGTCCACGTCCTCGCTACACCCTAGAAATCCAATTTTTAAAACTATAAGTTTTACTAAACAAACTTTTGTTTTGTATATAAAAGGTTATCTTCTATAAAACTAATTTAATTTCTCGAAACAAATCAATCATTCCCTTGGAATTAAGGCTAGTAAAGAAATAAAATATCTCGTATGGTTTCTTTAAAGGTATTTCCCTACTAGAGGGCAAACTAGAACCAAATTAATTCAAACAAGTTTTCTTGTCGAACAAGTTCCCTTTGTCTTTTATTTGAAATTATTCAAATCTAATGTTTTTAACAAATTTCCTTTAAAACAATTGGTCAAGGATAATTTTGTGAAAAACTTAAAGTTTGGAAGTTAATGCAATTATTTATTAAAGGTCAAACACTAGTTTAAATAAAGAAAAGAATTAACAAATCGGCAAGGTTTTAAAAGTCCCGATATCTAGATTTTAATATTAACGTACTATACTCAATGTATATAACTTGATATTAAGGCAAAATATTCCCACAAGATTTGATTTAAAGATACTTGAATTCAAAAGACTAGAACGGACTTCACGATTTCAATTCATTTGCACATTATATTCCAAGTCGCCAATATAGCAAAAACACAATTCGAACATCCATTTCACTAGGGTTTCATCAATCATTAGCCCTAGGTCTCAACAGATTCAATTCTAATCAAAATCAACCAAAGGAAGTCCAAAGTATTAAAACAATTCCAAATCACAAATCGTGGACCTTCCAAATGCATTTTGGCCAAACCACTTAAATAATTCCACCAAGAATTTAACCCTTGCAAAAATTACTCAAATGGCCAAAAGCTTCATCAATCATTAGCTCTTGGCATCAAACAAATATTTCTTACAACAAGTCAACTAAAAGTTTAACTCAAGCATAGAAGAAAGTCACGGTTAGCTTACTCACAAATACACTTAGGAACTCAGATTTTCTTTTCTTGTTTCGATAGTCAAGAAAATTCCAGTAAATTTCAATCCAAGATGTCCAACTTTTACTTGCTAGAAACACCAAACGTATAGCCTATAATCTGTCCAAACCAAGCTAAAATAAATAATGCACAAATCCAGCAAATAAATCCACCAAAAGTCCCAACCCATTCGGCCATGCTGGAAAAATATTTTCCTTCAGAAATTCTTTTAGTTCATGTTCCAATACACCAGTTTTTCAAGTGTTACAATCAATAAGATAATCATGAAACTAGCACAAGATGTTATAAGACATTTTACTTGAGATTGTAGCCAATTATCAAGCCAATATAAGAATTTCAAGCTCCTTTCTCATTCGGCCATTAACCAAATTTTCCAGCAACAAGACTTCGATCTTTTACACTCCCAGCTTATCATGTAAATGGTAATTGTTATGCTTACGGGGTCTCTTAATCAACGACACAAAATTTACAGCTTGTAACATAATTTTAAAACCCAAAATTCGCAAAAGAAAACTGGAAAATTCTTTTCTTCTTCATTCGGCTACACTGGAAAAATTCCAGCAGCTTAGTCACTCATTAATCCGGATTTTCCTTGGCCAAATCACTGAATTATGTACTCACAGCTAACATGTATTACTAATAAATGAAGTTACTATTAATTCTAGTCCAAAACAGGGTCGGTCACCAACAACATTCATTCAAAATTCTAGGATCTGCTCAACTAACTACGGATGACATGCCTGCAGCAGACTTTTGGTTTCATTTTATTTTTCTGATTTACACACAGCTAATTAATCTCATGCGGGGCTTAATCATCCAGCATTTAGTTAGCTAAACACACCACCAAGTGAGAATCAAACACTTTCCAGCAAATCTCATACTAAAATATTCATACAACTCCCAAAACAACTCCATCGGCAAACTGGAAAATTGATTAAGCAGTCCAGCAACTTCTAGTGAAAATTTCCAGCCATGCAACCGAAATCCTGGCCATATGGTTCACATGCAACACCAAATAAAAGGCTATCTATCAAATTGGCCCAAGGTTAAGCTCAGATCATCACAAGTTAACAAACTAAAGCTGCAATTCCAGCTCTAACTCTCGGCAGCTCCAATTCTTTCCAAATCAGTTTTCTTGTAACTTAATTTTGTCATCCAACCGCACAACCCCACATGCATGCTTATAACCAGCTTCATTAACCCATAAACAACTCATTTAAGTCTAGAAATTACCTCAGCCTGAAGCTTAACACACTCGGCCCACAGCAGAAATATTTTCCTCCCTCACGGCTTTGCTCACGCACTCGGGGATGGTTGGTCTGAGTTCAGTAATTGCAGCTGTGGTGATTGAGGTTGAAGTGATCACGGCTGGTTGAGGTGAAGAATGAAATGGCAGCTCTCAGATGATGAAGGAAGCAATGAAGCTCACACGATTATCTCTTGCTCTCACCCTCTCTCGGACAGTTCAAGAACCGAAGCTCGCACGGCTCTCTCTCTCGTCGATACTTCCAAGGTAGTTGTTTCCTCACAGCTCACGGCAGAAAGCAAATGGAAGTGTACTATTATAGTGGATTGGAAATGGTATAGTGTGGAGTGTATGGTTAATGGGGTGTATATATTGAGGTTATCGTGAGTGGGGTTGGTCGGCAAAAGAAATGGAAGATGCTGGAATGAACCGACAGAAATTGGAATTGTTTGGAAATGAGTTGCTTCTAGCATTTTTTTTTTTCTTCACGGCTGCTTGGTGATTTTAACTTGGAAAAGGCTAATTTGGTCTTTTTACATTTCATCCAAATTTCCACTTAAGCCCTTCAATCCTAAACTAACTCCAAGATTTCCTAAATATAAATCAAATGCCTACTAATATACCAACCTTGAAAAATTCAATTATCGAGATACAACGTCCCTAAAATAATTATAAAGAGCTTTAACCTAAACGTTTCGTCTTAATTCTAGTTTTCCTTAGCACCTATCGTCGTTAATACTTAAAATTAGTTATTGGAACCAAAGAATTAAAATAAAAACAATGGCACACTCAACATCAAGAAAAATTACCTTTACTTGGCAAAAATTCAAATAATCTAATATCTTGCACAATTGAATTATTTGTAATCTAAAACAAATTATTTTTGCACACTTATTTAAGACCAGATAATAACAA